CATCTATAATGGGATATTATATGGAATATTATCATCATCTATAATGGAATATTACCATCATCATTATATGGGATATTATTCCAACTGATCTGACAACAATTATAATATCATGACTGGTTGGTGCTTTGGAACATGGCTTTTATGACTTTCCACAATATATATATATGGGATGTCATCCTTCCCATTGACTTTCACTCATATTTTTCAAGATGTTATTTTGTTTTTACCACCAACCAGATGACAACTGCAGCATGATCCAATGGAAGATTCCATTTTTCCATGGGATATTCATGGATATAAACCATGATGTTTTGCATGATCTAATTGGAAGTTTTGTTAAAGAAATCATCCCATCATGGATCCCTACGGATCATCCCGTTGTTAAGATGCTTCCCCCAGATGCTCCATGTATATTTTTTTTTATCACTGGGATATATACAGATAAATGTGAAAAAGCACCATGGGTTGCATATGGGCTTGATATGGCTGGACTTCTAAGCCCTTTGTTTGATTGAACGTGGTTGTTCTGCCTGATTTCTCTATGTTGAATTGCGAGATCTATTTTCAGATGAGCAGTGTTGATTGGTTGATGATTAGGATTATACCACCCTTTAGTGGGGCTTATCACCATCCATCCGAGGGTTTTGAAAACTGCTCAGATAGGTGTAGGATTTCCATGATTTATGGTACGGGTGTATTGTAAAGTCGCCTTTGTTTGTCTTTTGCGCAGGAAATGGACCTACATGACATTTGGAAAGAGCACGGGCGCCCAGAGCCCTCTGGGGCCCCTCGGTGTCCAGGTCATAGTTGCCCAGAAATTGATGGTTTTTCATCGGTCTACCCGGTCTACACACAGAGGAAACATCCCCCATCCCTTGTGACTTTAGGACTTACCCTCTGGTAAACTAACATAACTATGGAAAATCACCATTTTTAATGGGAAAATCCACTATAAATCACCATTTTCAATAGCTATGTTACAAATTACCAGAGGGTAGTGCCAGCTGATTGTTCGTTGCACCAGATTGATTCTTCGTTGCCTGTGAAGATGTTATCCAAAGCTGTCCCTATCTTTTGCCGAAGCCATGGTAGCGTGGTCCTGTGGTCCTCCAACCACTGGCCGCTCCAACGGACAGCGGGGGCACAGACCCAAATACAGCTGCGCAGTCCATTGTTGCTGATTGTGCCCGCGCACTCTTTCACAGCAGTTTCATGTGTGGACAACATCTAAAACTATCTAAATGCTTTCGGTCAAATATGCCCTTGCTGGCATATAAATTAGATCACAGTATTCCACGAGGAGACTTGGGGACCGGTTACCACATGCCACCTTGCGACCCAGCGTGGCCCATCTCTCCTGAAAGGTCCAACGTTGGCAGACTGGCAGACGGGGGGTTGCCTTCCGATCCCTCGTTAGGACGTGCCTGGCGGGTTTCCTGCTGGCTCTCTTCTCTACGACTCGAAGTCAGGACATTGGGGGCGTTTGAGCGATCAGATGAACGGGTGATGTGGGGAGTTTTAACGTGTTGTAAGGGCAACAAATGGGGTACGATGGAAGTATCATTGGGATCTACCCTATGATGGTGTCATGTTTTACATGGCTGGACAAACCAGCCTTTTAGTTCATTTTACTTCGTTGTTTTTACATGTTCTTACCATTAAATGTTTGATCACCGGAGGATAGTTTTAACAATGAGACATAACCATACGCAATGAGACAAAACTATCCAAGAAGAACGATATGGATTTGTCCACGGATGGGAGATGGGGCCTAATTATATGGCCAATAAAAATAGGAAGATATTACCCTCTGGTAAACGTTTACATAGCTGTAGAAAATCACCATTTTTAGTGGGTAGATCAACTATTTCAATGGCCATTTTCAATAGCTATGTAACAAATTACCAGAGGGTAATTGGGATCATTATCTTCCCAATCAAGATCCTAATTGGGCCCACAATTTGTTGATTAATGGCCCATAACAATGATCTTATATGGCCATATATGGCCAATAAAGATACGAATCTCCAATTACCAAGATTATCCTGAATATTACCAAGATTATCCTAATCATGATGAAACATCAAGATTAGGATTAGGATCTCCAATTCTCACTTTCCCTTCCCAGGATGATGATCCCATCATGGAACATAATGGGCTAGAAGCTATAGCAGCGATAGCAACCTGTTAAATTACCAGAAGCTGCATATTTATATATACAATTATATAATTATATACATAATATATAATCATATTCATATATATATATACACTTATTATGCAAGTCTTGGGCATAGACAACTTGGGGCTACCTTCAGGTAGAAACCACCAATTCCTCGTGTCAATCTCTCGTTGAATCCGCGCAGTCTGTCCAGCCCTGGAAGTTCTACGATGTCGGCGGCGGCCCTGGGTATCCCTGGGAGATGCGACACGGATGCCCTGGTGCTGACCCATGGGTTCGAAGATTGACCATCATTGACCTATGAAAAATGGTGATTTTCCTATGAAAAATGGTGATTTTCCTATGAAAAATGGTGATTTTCCTATGAAAAATGGTGATTTTCAATCGCAAAGTGTTAAATTTCCAGCTGGCATAGCCAATTTTCCATCATATTCAGTTATTATATAGTTATGTATCCCATGATACTCTCCAGGTAAAGAGCTAGAAAGGGAGTATCTCCAGGCAAAGAGCTAAAAAGGGAGTTATCTCGATTAGTACTATATGATATTGGATCCTATTAGTGACTTCGTGGACTTGTTTCTTTCTCTTCATTGAAACCATGCCCTGAGGGTATCCCCAGAAAAAGGTCACCTCCCCGCAAGCGAATGTCGGACCATTGGGGAGATACCCCTTTTTGGATATCCATAAGCGATCTATGCATCTCAATCTATAGATCTAAGAGGATTGAAATTAGAATTATCTATCCTGGAGTAAATCATGAATATAACTTATAACATTATATATATATATATGAGTAAGCGGCAAATTATACACGATTATTGTAATATTAATTTCGTCTTGCTTTGCCTTGGCCTTGAGCGGTGTTTTCGAAAACTTCATTACCGGGGACGACCCGATACCGATACCCAGAAATCCTCACTACCGATGGGGGACGACCCTAATTTGTGCACGGCATGAACATGAACCATTTTTTTTGTCTGCTATTCATAATGCTGTATATTTATATGTATATGTATGTATGGAAATTGCGAAAGATCCCACATTCTATCTTCAGGATGATTATAAGCATCTATCATCATTAAATAGTTATATATATATACCTCCGTCTCTATCCATTGGATGTAGATTCATTGAACATATGTAATCTAGATCCATGATTCACAATTCAATAGATCAAGGATAATCTCAACTAAATATACATGAAAATCAATCTATAGATCAAACAATTTCAATCTATAGGAACTAGAATGTGTTATTGGATTGTTTGATCTATATCAATGTTATTGGAATGTTATAACGGATTATACCCGATAGATATAGATCTATATAGATCAATTTATTCTTATTGGAATATTAATCTACCCTCTGGTAAACTAACAAAAAGCTATTGAACATGGCCCAGTCGAAATAGTGAGTTTTCCCATTAAAAAGTGGTGGATCTTTCCATAGTTATGTACACGTTTACCAGGCCGGGTATATCTATTGGATCTCCTGGGTTCACAACTCGCCACAGCTCCAGAGGCTTATCCTTGATCAACAGCTGCGCCTACGACGAGGCGAGGAACGCCATGTCTATTGTTTCCGCATGACATATGGAGGGGGTTTCCTGTAAAATTTATTGAAATTTTGCCAAAGACATGGCTGATTTGGATTTTGGCATGAACAAAAAATCACAAAGAGTAGGCGTGATTGGAGTTTGTCCAATCAGAAGTTTTTTAGTCGTTTCCAAAAGTTTCCGAAAACCAGCGAGACCTTTTTCAGCTTTGAGCTCGGAGCTGCACCGGAAGGCCGGTGAACGGCAACCAGTTTTTGTCTCCCCCTATCATAGACATTCATAGACTATCAATCCAGTTCATTGTTTGCTTCCATTGAATGTCATCATGTCATCATCACCCAATAGTGGGCAGGGGTCCTAAAATAGGGGGACCCCAAAACGGATGGGAAACGCTACAGGCGAAGTTCTTCGCTCGCTATGGCATTACAACTGCGCAGGCGGGGCACGGGCGTTCCCCGTCCCCAGTTAGATTGATGGAATATCCTTTATTATCCTTTATTATATATGGGATGAAACATGGCTTATATATGGATTATACAGTATGACCCATATAAAAGCCATATTTCATCCCATATATATATATGTACACCACGGATCCGATTCGTGAGATGCACATCCAAGTTTTCCAAATGCCTAAAAATGCCGGTGGGATCAGCACCTTGGTACGCTGCGTTTACATCTCGAGACGTAAAAGGAGCAGGATTGGTTTTTGAATCTTATATTTTCATCCGATAGGAATGAACATACCTATATACGCGTATAATATATAGTATTAAATATAAAACGTACTATTATTTAATATATACTATCACATACTATAACAATATATATATACAATGTATATACAATATTGCATAGTACATCTAAGAATACGTGTGTATATATACACATCATCTTATAGTTATATATATATTATGTATATGTCACTGCGGCGCTAGATCCAAGCAATGTTAAGGCTGTTCAGGTGCTTAGTCTCGATTGGCCACGTTGGAGAACCACCAAATGTTGATCCAGATGTCAGTGCATTGCTTCAATAGGGAAAATCTGAAGGAATCCCTGATTTTACCAGTTTTTTTGGGGGTTTCCTGCAATTCTCCCTTCAACCCATATACACACATATATATATACATATATATATATATATATACTGTATATTATATATATATGTACATACATATATGGGAAGATGGGATTGGCGAAGTATTGCGCTACGAAGTCAGAACTATATATAATGTTTTTTTTTTGGGGGGGGTCTCGACTTTCATGAAGTCTGCAGTGGCTCAGGTGGCGTACAATTTCTACATCTTGGGCTTGCCATATCATTTGCCTGATCCCGTTCTACACTTGCAGGCCAAACAACCACCGGCCAGTCGTGCCAGTCGAAGTGGATTTCTAGAGTTGAGCATCATCCAATTCGCTGTATGAAAAGTGGAACCACACTAGTCCACAATAGTTTATAGGCGTTTTCATTCGAAAGATGACTTTGCCAATCCCATCTTGGTATACAAGTGGGGATGAAATCACCTTCTTTGGGACATTTTGGGACAATATATAGGGCTGTTTGATATTATGGGATTGCTAATCTATTGTCCCAAAATATCAAACATAGCTGGAAAATGTTGTTTTCCCATAATATTAAAATGGGGATTTTCCATAGTTGGCATTGCTGGACATGGCCATTTGCGTCAGCATCTTCGCAACAGGTCTCGATTTCAAGCCACTGTATCGGATATATCGGCAGATAGCATCACTTTCTCCCAGATATTCCACGTTTGTTATTGGCAAACATGAAGCATGATCCAAGTCTCAGTCAATGTAACAGCACCATAGAGAATATCTATACCCTCTGGTAATTTGTTACATAGCTATGGAAAGATCCACCATTTTTTATGGGAAAATCCACTATTTCTATGGTCATTTTCAATAGCTATGTTACAAATTACCAGAGGGTATATATTATAATACACTGTATATATGGTTATAGATACTATATAATGTACATATTGGCACATAGAAATTCCAAGAGCCTGAGAGAGAAATGAATTCAAACAGCGTCATGATTCATTTCTAAGTATTTAGAACCCATCATTGTTCTATAATTTCAATATTTTTCTTATTCAACTTGAAGATCATTAAAAACAACTCAAAATTAAAAACCATCGTGTGTATACCCTCTGATAAACCAACATAGCTATGGAAAATCAACATTTTTTGTGGATAATTCAACTATTTGTATAGCAATTTTCAATAGCAAACTGTAACAAATTACCAAAGGGGTATCATGATTAATCCCATTATTAATCCCATAGCTATGTTAGTATTTAATATTAACCATTATCAACCATTATTAACCGTTAATCTGTTAAATTACCAGAGGCTATCTTTGAAGTCGCCTCCGGCTCAACACATTCTCCAGGCCAGTGAGACGTCCACATCGTCATCGCTTCAAGCACTGGAGGTGCCAACGGAGGTGTCGAAGAAGTGCTGGTAGATAGTGCAGCGATGATTTTTGTTTGGACATACCCATCAGTTGATAGGTGGTTTATCCCATTATTTATAGGGTTGAGAAACCATCCAAGGACAGGGGAAAGTTATGAAATATAAAAATCTACCGTGGGTGGTTGCGAAATCCTGCACCAGTTGATAGGTGGTTGAAAGCCTATAAATAGTGGCATAAACCTATTAACTTTCGCAACCATCCACAGTATCAATGGTTTTTTTCTCAGGGAACATTTACAGGAAACCACCAGATTTCATCGGAAAAAGACCCTGGTTTCCTGTAGATGTTTACCCTAAACCGATGCATTGAATATAATTACTTAGCATGCTTTATAACTTTTATAGATTAATATAGCTCAAACATATGCTTAGGTTTTCAAAAGTAATGACCCCAGTTGGGTACAATATGTTGTGATAAAGGGTTACAAGGTTTAGATTCAGAGTGATATCATAAAGTTCAAACAGTTTAAACCCAGCCAGGTGGAACTTCAATAATGTTTGAGTTGGTGGATCCGGCTTAGTAACCACCAACAACCCCTGAAAAAGGCGTTTGATTCATTTGGTGGTTTGTTAAGAACACATATTAATATCTACACAGTTATAACTACCAACTGGCTCATAATCAAGTTTGAATTGGGTAAAGTTTGTAGAACGGAATAGCTACCAAATTGAAAAGTCTGGTGAAATAAAGTGGGTGAACCCAGTCACTTCCCTACCAATGCGACTTTGATCCATCCCAATTTGGCTTGATCATGTCAGTTGATCACCAGCTTCCTGTTTTTTTCGGTTGCCTTTTTAACTTGGCAATCCGTTTTTTTTTCAGACACCCACATCATACTACGATGATTATTCTTGTTCTTACATATATATATGGGTAAATTATAACGACCTCACTGCGACCTCACTGGAATTCATGGTTAGTAAGGGGAATCATCCCCAAATGGCCTTAATTCAGGTTAGTGAATTATTATAATTTGCCCTTCAATATATCATCCTCAAATCAGCATCGTTTTGCTCCAAGATTCGATCCCTCGTAAATTGGTTTATATCATTTTATATCTAGAATAACTAGGGTTGATTAGGGGGATATATCTATAGTATTTATATATATATGTAGTATTTCTGTAATATTTCTATAGTTACTAGTGGTTTATCACCACATCCCAAAACGGAAACGCGGCAGGATGCGCCGTTGGTCATCGACATCGGCCCCCTTGGCTCTGGCTGATTTTTCACCAAAATCATAGCTATTGAAAATGGCCATTGAAATAGTGGATTTACCCACCAAAAATGGTGATTTTCCATAGTTATGCTAGTTTACCAGAGGGTAACCAAATTTGAATTCAATAGAAACGGTGATTTCACCATACACCAACACACATGGTGGCACAACGGGGAGATGATGGGATTCTTATGATTTATCCAGAGGGATCTAATCTACAATCAGCGGGAATGTAAGAAACACAAATCGGATTACAATGAGCAACAGTTTAGAAGTCAATGAGGAAACAAGCAGGTTTTTATCACCATTGAATTGGGATCGATGGGGACTTAGCTGAATAGGACTAGTGGATGTTTTTGCTTTGCTTGAATCCATCACAAGACATGGATTGATGATCCCGTTTCATCAGGCTTTCCGCGAGTCACAGATGGTTGAAGAGTTTCTGCCCCTGTACCACTCCTGATAGGAGATGCTTTCGGGAAGACACATCCATTTTGGTTGTAGACCACCCCATTTTTGCTGGGACCATTTCGTCCAATATTTCCAGGACTCTGCTCTGAATTGACTACGCTTTTAAGATACGCTGAACTGTTGAACCCCCCAAGCAGATCACAAAAAAAATGGAGTGACCCCTCCTGATTGTATGGTCTATGGTTCAGCAATCAGATTATAACTACTTGGGGAGGTACCCGGAATTAAAACATATAGAACCATGGACCACGGTTTGTTGAATTCCGGAGTTGACATTAGCCATTATATCCTCATCGATACATCATTCGAAATTCCCATGGAATACCCCATTGTGTTCTAGCATTCTACCACACAGCAAAAAAAACACAATTTCTGTTGGTCAAATCACTTTGAATTGTGTTGCTTAAATGGGTATGGGTCAATACCTATAGATACATTTTTAGTGGGATGAACATCCATTTACCAGCTATTTTGGGGTTCACTAGGTACCAGGGTTTTGACCCATCCCCAAATTTCCATTTTAAGTGTTGCAACAAACAAAAAGCATTCATCCAGTGGACTGAGGCATGGGCCTGGGCGCCGATTCGTCACTCGACTGCGGGGAAGACCATGCTGTTGGTTTGATGATATGGCAAGGCCCAACAAAAGATGGATATCATGGGATAAGCAACAATGAACTCTGAATCCGCATGATGAAGCCCCAGCGTGGCGACTTGTGTTTTGTCATTTTGAATGACACGTTGCGACCAATCTGAAGTAATTAGTCAAGTAGTCTTGTCTTGATTATATGTATAATGTATAATAATATATATATGTACACAACATACACACACATATATATATAATGTATATATATATATATTAAGAGGCCACACTGTTTGAGATGTTCCATCTCAATGGGATCAAAGTCCCAACTGACGAACTCTAATATTCTTAGGGAAAAATATAGAAACAACCAGAGTCAGAATCCATCTTTGACACATTGTATCCAAGCTTTGTCATAAGATGTCTTCGAAAAGAATACCGGACATTTATCCCATGGTCGTGTATGTGTTTGTTGCTTATATCATATATATATAAATATAACTATAATTATGTATATATATGTACATATATATATATATGTACATATATATATATATATATATGTACATATATATATACATATATATATATATGTATGTCCCTGCATGCTCCAGGGTAGCCGGGCTATGGGTTACATCCATATGATACTATACCAATGTCCAATCAATAGGGATATAACCAAGATTGGAACAAACACATGGTTACACAATAAGGTATCCATATAAAAAGTGATGGTTACACAAGACTACATATCCCACTTTTCTAATATCTAATGATATCTAGGGCTATCCTCATAATATCAATGGTTATATCATGTATATATATATATACATCTAATGTATCCCAATGATAGCAGTTGTTATGTATCTATGTCTCACACACATATATATATATATACATATAATATTATATAATATATATATATACACATACAGTCATCCTTGCAGTATGGGAATATGCATGAACATCTACATCCCCATGGCTGAGGCGCTACTATTTGTCCCAGGGCTTTCGCGTCGTCGCGGTGGAGGCCAATCGCAAGGCCATTGAGGCCGGATCGGATTGGATCAGGGCAACGGCCATGGTTGGACTCCTCTGGGATTTTAATGGTTTAATGGTTAATCATGGTTAATCGAATGGTTAATCGAATGGTTAATAATGTTCAGGATGGGAACTTTATGGTTAATAATGGTTAATGATGGTTAATGATGGTTAATGATGGTTAATAATGGTTAATCATGGTTAATCGAATGGTTAATGATGGTTAATGATGGTTAATGATGGTTAATGATGGTTAATGATGGTTAATGATGGTTAATGATGGTTAATAATGGTTAATAATGGTTAATGATGGTTAATAATGTTCAGGATGGGAACCTTATGGTTAATAATGGTTAATGATGGTTAATGATGGTTAATGATGGTTAATAATGGTTAATCATGGTTAATCGAATGGTTAATGATGGTTAATGATGGTTAATGATGGTTAATGATGGTTAATGATGATTAATGATGGTTAATGATGGTTAATAATGGTTAACGATGGTTAATGATGGTTAATAATGGTTAATGATGGTTAATAATGGTTAATGATGGTTAATGATGGTTAATGATGGTTAATGATGGTTAATGATGGTTAATGATGGTTAATGATGGTTAATATGAAATACTGACAGCTATGGGATTCATAATGGGATGAATAATGATACCCTCTGGTAATTTAACGCTTTGCTATGGAAAATACCCATTTAAAACATAAACATGGGCCATGTTCCTTATGGTTTGCTATGGAAAACGGATGAAATGAACATGACCCATTTAGTTCGATGACTTACCTATGAATTAACAATCGTTATTTTCCATAGCTATGTTGGACTACAGTTCATGCATGTAGAAATGCCTTTTTTGATTCGTGATGATATGCAGTTATACGACCTGGTTATTGGGGATTATGAACTAACTCATAGATTGGGAAACCTAGAAAAACCAAACAGTAATTAATCCCTCTCCCAAATACTACCTGGCCCCCCCTCCAAATACAAAAACCTATGGGTGGTTTTTCCAGGAGTATTCAGTATTAGGGTTGGGCATTTCCTCCTATGGGTAATCTTATATTGCCTTTGATGTGGCCATATGTATATATATATATTTAATGACCTACAATGTACATGTATATGGCTATACAGTATACATTGTTATTTCTATTTTGCTATTCATATGGCTATTACATAATTGTACAGTTTATATACAGTTTCAATTATGTGATAAACCATATGTATATTATTGAGCTTGAAACTGTATATAAACTCTTCATGATATTATATGATACATTTATTGGCTATTAGAAGCAGTTTCACTTGAGGTTTCATGTAGCTTAATAACCATATATATATATGATATTGAATGTACTCCCAGTTTCATATTACATTAATGTACAACATATAACCAGGTTTAATTACCATCTGGTTATTTAACATAGCCATGGAAAATCACCATGTGTAATAGGTACACCATCTATTTCTATGGGTCATCTATACCATGGCTATGTTAGTCATAACCAGAGGGTAATTATAGAATTCATGTAGAGTTTTCGACCTCAAGGATTCTCTAAATTTGAACTCTGGCCGTCTGCAGGTGGCCATGACCATCGACTGGGTCCAGCCACTGGACGCGATGGTGGCAGGGTTGATGAGTTGGGGGATGACATACTACCCCGGTTACCCTCTGGTAAAGTAATGTAACTATGGAAAATCACCATTTTTAATGGGAGAACTCACTATTTCAATGGCCATTTTCAATAGCTATGTAAGAAATTACCAGAGGGTACTACCCAATATTAGCTGGGGATTAGTTCAAAATCCAAATACCTGGGAATCCCGTTCTTAACCAGGATTATTCATGGAATGATAGAGGGATTTTGAACACTGCTCAAATGGCCTTATTTAGTGGAAATGTTCAGCTTAGTGAATGATTCAAATTTAGAATGTGGCAATCTTTTGGGGACATTTCGAATAGTCAATGCAGTATCCCCAATTTAGGGTTTGTAAATGAACAACCATGGTTTGGGGGTAATGACTCATGACGTGTAAATCAAGTAAACACGTTTCACAGTCAGTGGATGATTCGTAGTACTTTTCAAAGGCACCAAGCCCAAATCAGAGAATATGGGAAGTACCACACTTATCCACACTTAGCATTGTGTATGATTGTAGTGAAGCCAGATACTATAAATTGTACCCTCCAGTAAACTAACATAGCTATGGAAAATGGCTCATTTACAGGGGATTTTCGATAGCTATGTTAGTTTACCAGATGGTAGTTTCATTTTCAGAAATTCTCCTGAGTAGGGGCGCATTTTTTGGTGAACGATGTCCTGTTAAAAAACACCGATTTCCCAAAATTCCCTGGTGGTTGGTTCTATAGCCTGTGGGTTGTATTGGTTGGTTTCATTTGGAATTGTGAGAATACATAGAATCTAGACACGATTACCTATGAGTACCCTCTGGTAATTTAACATAGCTATTGAAAATGACCATTTATAGTGGATTTTCCCATTAAAAATGATGATTTTCCATAGCTATATTAAATTACCTATGAGTATCCTATGTGTTTGAATCATGAATCAATCAGCAATGTCCGGCTTCGTCTTGGACAAGACTGATGTGCTTATCACTTTTTTCATCATTTGGTCAACGTGGCCATGGCCAGCCCTTTATGGCAGATTTCCCATGGGATTTCAAAGGTTGCAGAGGCCAACAAGCTCCAGCCCTACCAATGAGGCCCTTGGTCCTGGAAGGGCGGCTCACCTTTCTGCACGCGGCGCGCTCATTTTCCAATGGACGATGTTGTGGATGGCTGAGAAGTCCTGAAGTTGATAGCTTTGAATCATGTTTTTTCCCATTTTTCATAGGCTTTCAACATCAAAGGTGGTGCTGCATTTCTTCCATAGTATGGTGAAGATATGTTTGTTTTTTTCCTTGCCTAATATGATATGATATACCCTTTGGTAAACTAACATAGCTATTGAAAATTGCCATTTATAGTGGATTTATCCATTAAAAATGGTGATTTTCCATAGTTACGTTAGTTTACCAGAGGGTACGGGTTTGTCTGAACATGGTAGATTTATACCTGCAAATAAGAATTTTGAATAGATAGAATGGTGATGAACCAGTCATTTTGGTGTACTCTATTTTCAGACATACGCATATGTATAATTATATCTCATATATACACAACCTCTGGTAATCAAACATGGCATTTGAAACATCCTTTGTAAATTGTAAATGTAGTTTCAACTACAGTAATGTGCAAATAATCTAAATTGAATGGATATATACTTTTCTAGTGAGCCATAGCGTTGCTGCATCAGCAAGCCTAAACCACTCAACGAAAATGGTGAACTTCCGTCTCACATTTGTTGGTAACGATCCCTCCAACCAACATGATGACGTCAGAAAGGGATTATATAGAAAACTATAGAGACGAGGAAAATCAGGATAAATTCTGACAGAACATATGCCTGCATGGTTGGTGGTTTGGAACATGAATTTTATTTTTCCATATCTCGGGAAGTTCATCATCCCAACTGACTCATATTTTTCCGGAGGGGTAGGTATACCACCAACCAGTTTATACTACTTTCCTCTAAGAGTGGCTATTCTCAGGGTCAAACTGTTGATTTGGGGGATGGTATGTCCGAAGCCACACCGCCATCAGGCCCATCAGGGTCTGGGCTTTATATTCCCAATTTCAGGATAGTCAAAGCGTGTTAACCGCTTAAGAAATTGTTGATTTTTAAAGATGCATTGATTTGACGCTATTATATGCATCAAAAATCAACATTTCCCATTATACATTGATGGTTGATACTGTATCCTATTATTGATGCTCAATATCGCATATATATAATATATATATATATACATATGATACATAACATCTCATTATATCAATATCAATGGCCACGCATGTTCACCTGCGGTCACCATAACTTAAAATGTGCATCCCACGAATCCCGGGATGCACTTCCAAGTTTTCTATGGCTGAATGTGGGTAATATTAATGGGGGTTTCCTAAAATAGGGGTACCACCAGATCATCCATTTTAGATTGGGATTTTCCATGAAATAAACCATCCAGCGAGCTTGGGAATTCCCCATTTATGGAAACCCCCATGTGATGTGGTAGTATAGACTTCATTGAACTATAGAATCCCCTTCCCCAAATATACAGAGAAACCTCATGTCCCAAGACACGCGAGACATCTAATGTTGTTATTTCTTGGCGAATGTTGGCTATTAATCCCTTGTTAAAAAAAAGGATGCTACATAGGATGGATGGGATTATAGCAATCATACTATAGTTTATATAGTATAGAATTATAGTTGTTTACCATAATAGCTATAGTATGATATATCATATCATATGGTTATAGAATTTTGTATTCATAGCATATTCTATAACCATAAAATGATTCTAATTGTCAACCAACAGAGGATCCATTCAACATTTTGTTGCTTGAATTCCAATGTTTGATCATGCTTCTGATCTATTGTTCATGAACCACAATTATAGTTTCCACTATGCAGCAATGTAATATATAATGGTACACAATGTATTATTGCAATAGATAACCATATATACATATCCGTAAAGAATCATACGTGCCCAGAAAGAGCCATTAAACGCAATAGATAACGATTAAACATAAACATATCAATAATAATATAAATCACCATAAACCAATAATCATCTACGTGATCATATAAATCATCATATAAATAATCATATAAGATGCAGAACCATAAATCACCATGTACATAACCATAAATCACCATAAATCACCAGAAACTACCATAAAATAATAATGAATTATTACAACATGACCACAAAAAATGCCATGTAAACATTCACCCCAAAGATATATATATATATATATTTATGTACACAATATATAGATATATTATGTATATCGATATATATCACTGCGCCCTTTCTGCCGCCTCGTAGGCCATTGCTGGTGTGGGGAAAGGTGGCTCTCGCAGCACGATCTTCGCCTTCGAGGAACGGCCTGTCTTGGGGCCCAGGTCCCGGCTGTCCGGGAGGGTCAAAACCATGGGCTTTTTCAAGGAAGATATGGGAAAACAAAGCATTATATATATATAATATATAATGTGCATGGTTTTGGATATATATATATATGTATATGTGTTCATTTAAGGGTGAGATAGGGAAAAAAACACTGGTGATAGATGGTTATGGTTATGGTTTATGTACAATATCATCATTATAGTAATGTACTATATGAGGGCAATTGTCCCTTAAACCACAAAAAATATGGTAAGATGACATGATAGTATCATATTACCACATAAATAGACCATTGACCAGGGGATTTGATCTGCAGCTGGTTTTGAGCCACAAGAAATGTGGGAACTTGGCGTTGAACCAACAAAACGGGTATGGGCCGAGCCAGACATGATCCCGCCATCATGTTGATGGCGCTCAACACAGAGTTTACACACCGAGCTCATCCGAAAGTCATGGTTTCCATTGGACATGACCCTGATGGAAACCATCACTTTATATGATTAACCATATATGATGACCCTGATGGATTTTTTTTTTGATTTGATCAAGTCACGTGGGTCTGTTGATCTTGGAAAGTCCTAGCTGAGGAACAAAGCAATGCGCAGCCATGGGTTGAAGATTTCGGTGGCAAAGCCGAGTCAGTTCGTCGGAGAACCAAGTGAGACGTGCCCAACAACAGTGGGCACATTTAACCCACCCATTTCATACCTTTTTTTTGGGGGGGTTAAACAGTTAAACCAAAGAATTCACCACCATTTCATTTGCAAGCAAAACCATGTAAGACCATGTCAGACCATGACTGGTTGGTGGTTTGGAACATGGCTTTTATTTATTTTTCCATAATATGGGATGTCATCCTTCCCATTGACGAACTCCATCATTGTTCAATATGTTTTTTAAGCACCAACCAGATGACAACTGCAGCATGATCCAATGGAATATGATCATATCTTTTCCATGGGAGATTCATGGATATAAACCATGATAAGAACAGTTAAGCCATATTTTCATGGGATGGTTATAAAATGTTATAAACTTATGATAAGCTTTTCATGAAGATAGCCATATTAACTGGATATTCATGGGATATAAACGACCTTAACTCGTTTTCACCCAGTTAAGCCATGAAAATGTCGTCGTCTTGGGATGGTTCTCCCATGGCAGGGACGGTGGAGTGCGCCGATCTGCTGCGGGTCTTCGGATACGCCGTGCGGGAACCTGGCGAAACTGCGAGAGTTTCGTGGTGCTTAAGATGATTAGTTGGAGGATTAAATACTAACATATACTAACCAACATAGTGATTCAATGGGATATTAATAGAAAATGGCCCTTGAAATAGTGGATTTACCCATTAAAAGTGGTGATTTTCCATAGTTATGTGAATGTTTACCAGAGGGTATACTAACCAACATAAACTCATCATCAATATATTCTTGGGGAATGTAAAAAAAAAGTTCGCTGCTAAACTTCTAAAAACATTCTAAAACTCATTACAATTAGAAATTACGGCAACCAATATTAATTAGGAAAAAAATCCAAATAGAATGGAATGACAAATGGTTTGTGAACACTGATCAAGTTCCAACATCACGGAACTATGCTCAACCGGCTGAGATTTTCAATGTATTTATTGGTTTCAACCATACTTGGGATGATTGGTTGAGATGACTCATGTATTTTTTTGGATGGGTTAAACCTACCAACAGGACCGGATTGGTTTTGTTGGGAAAATCTTCACCGGACACTGGGGTTCCTCTAAATTTTGCCTTTCAACCAAGTTTGGGAAAATGGAACACGTGTGCCATGATCAACATTTTTTTTTGTTCGGAAGGATTTATATACCCATTGCAAGGATTCCCATTATGGAATGGATGACCGTGAATCATAGACCATGTTGTTTGACATTAGCAGATGTTTTTTTCCAGCACACATTTGGGTTTAACTCGGTTGTTGCCATAAATGGTCAAGATGCTACAGTAATGATTGGGGATACATGGGGTAAGCGAATTATGGGGTCTATTGCATAGAATTGTGGTTTATTACGGTTGAAACATTTTTTTTGGGAGGACATGATTGATATCCTGGGTAAACGGAAACCTAATGGAACAATTTTAACATGATTTAACCACAGAACACTGGGTACATAGCTGCGATGAATCAACCGACACGGGGATAAACCCAACCATTGTATGCATGGGGACCATCAAATATTATTTGGGAGATGGGGAAACGGACTGGTGAAAGGTACGATTAAGTACGTTATAGGTATGTTCCAATTTTGATATCTAAGATTGGCCATATATCAAGTTGGTTGGTTCCGCTGGTGATTATGCCTGAAAGTGTAGACAAAAGCGAAATGGTGTTTGAAATACCCTCTGGTAAACTAACATAGCTATTGAAAATTGCCATAGAAATAGTGGATTTACCCATTAAAAATGGTGATTTTCCATAGTTACGTTAGTTTACCAGAGGGTAATGTGTTTTCGGTTTGATGTGAATTCCGCAGAGTTCGGAATTCTGTTCATCATTGGAGTTGTGGGTCACTATCCGATCCCTATCTTATGGGAACTTCGCCACCGAAGAGACATTACCGGTTCACCAGTGGTGTCCTAAAATGGGGGCCCCAAACTGGTCATTTTATTTATTTTTGATCATAATCCCGTTCAGATTAAACACCCCCTTTCCATGGAGGGTGTTGAATATTGAGAGTGGTACCCTGTGAGGGCACCATTTTTACTGTGTTTTGCCCTGGTGGGGTACCTCTCTGTGAATATTAGAAGGAAGGGATTGCTTGGGACCTTCCAATGCACGCACACGCATACTTGTGATCAGATCGGTGCTCTTATGGTGCAACGCTTCAGTATTTTGGGTCGTAGGTGAGCCATGGTGCGCACAGTGTGCCAAGTAGTTGCAGTTGGTGTGTCACACACAGCTTCACTGGTTGGTGGTTTCAAACATTTTTTATTTTCCATAATATATGGGATAATCCTTCCCATTGACTTTCATATTTTTCAAGATGTTTTTAAACCACCAACCAGTTCAGCGTTTCAGGCTGATTGCATTCCATATGATCCATTTTCATTGAAATTCTCTGATAAGTTGGCCAAATACGGGGCCCCAAAATAGCTAATTACCCATCCTACCATGACTGTGTTTGGCCCAGTTTTTTTGTTGGGGAGCCTTGAATAATGCGAAGGTCTACATGAAGATCGATGTCGAGTCGAGTACCATCGATTGCTTGGAGTCCTTAGCGGAATCCCAAAGTGAAGGCATGACAGGGCAGCTGGGGGCCGAGGGGCTGGGGTGGCTCAGAGGATCGCTTGTGATAAGGACGTGAGAAGCAGGAGAAAACGGTATTGGAAGAGCAAAAACACCTGGTGACTGGTAAAAGTTTGCAATTAATTCACCCAAAAATTGATTGTTTGCAGTATTTGGTACCCGATTTCAGACCCCATCTTCTTTGGGCCATTCTTGTTTGCGAACTCCCCATTCTGGTGTTGCTGACTCAATCCATTTTTACAGGCCGTTGAATTCCGAGCTGTGCTTTTTGTTGCTGAAATCACCAGTGCATTTTCCATCGTTGATCATGTACCATCTGGTAATTTCAGATAGCTATAGACAATCATATTTAATGGGCAAATCATCTACAACTTCACCATTTTCCATTCAGCCCGTTGAATGAATTACAAGATATTACAAGTCTAAGTATATATAGTTGGTTATACATCCCATTATATAAATATTCTTATTAATATCCCTTTAGGTCACCATAGGTTCCATAGTGAAATGGCCATGTATTTTTTTCGACTTTCAGGCAATCGCAGTCCGGTGCCCTTGCCCAAGTTTTTATCCATGGAGTTGGAGGTGCAAGGATACATCCGACTGGTGAAGGGTATTATTTTGATGGGGAACCAGCTAAGATGATAAATAGTTATCATGCAGCCAGGTCAGATAATCGTGATCTAAGATGATCTAAGTAATCTTACTGATACTATGGTTTGTTAGTTTTTTGCACTAGGTCAGATGATGATCATCTTTAATCTTACTGATACGATGGTTTGCTAGTTTTTTGCACTGTAACTATCTGTAACTAAGATAAGCCAATATACGCCATATTAGCTTCAGGCTTGGGATTGGCTGTGCACTGTTTTAAAGAAAGGATCGGAGCCCCTTTTGATTTTCGCATGCAAAGACACCCCTGTGGTGATCTTATGCCCTTTGGGATTTCAGCATCAATGGCTGGCACCACAACCAGGCGGCCTCCCTGTTCGAGCGATTCTATGAGAACCTACAAAGGATGGGTTTGGGAGCTCAGTTTGCGCCTGAGGGATGAACGGCCGTGGGATAAAGCCACCCACATGGGTCACATGATGCCAGTTAGGAATAGTTTACGCGTGATACCAATGTATGTCCATGTTTTTTTTCCCCACTTTTACGGGGGTTCCCAGCTCACCCCACTTTGGAGACTTGTTTTCTGACATCCAAACATCAACTGCATAGTAAGTGGCATGGTTATTCAATGTTATTCAACTAACTTCAAGCGTCAAGTATGTAATGTCTTGAATTTTGCTCTTAGGACCGTTGCCGCATGAAGAGTGTCAGCAGCAGCCGAGTCTGGCAGGTCGCCAGTGAGGATCCCATCAGGGATCACCAAAACTTTCCACAAATCACTGAACAAAACAGCAATCGTCCAATCATGCTTGGACACCCCAAAACCCATGGTTTATCATCATTTGACCCTAGCGAATCATTTAAACCTGCATTATCCTTCTTCACATGGAAATTTCACAATCACCAGAGACTGAAATAAAAACATGAATATCTTATTCATAAATCACACTTCAGAAATCATCCAACACCTCACCATGTCAGAATTCATATCATGAAGAAGTCACCTTTTTTTGTAAATCACCAGCCTGGATCTCGAGGTTATCTCTTCTACAAGGCCTGTCGTCAGCTTGGACCTCAGGAGGATGCATCGCATTATTTTTTTTTGGGATGTTTTACCCAACATTAATTGAGACAATGCCATATATCACATATATGTATACTGTATACATATATATATATGTATACTGTATACATATATATATGTATATATATATGATTATGATGATGATGATGATATGCTTACAAAATGAATGTGGCTATTGTTTTCTTAGTTGTGGATTTTACCATCCTACTGTAAAGTTTTACATTGTATATATCTACCCAAGCATCCGACAGAGGTATATTACTGACCATGGTCACTCTCCACTCTGTGCCCTGAAAAGATGGCTTACTCTCCCACAAAAGGGGGTGGTCATGCCTGGATGAATTGGGCTTAGTTTGACAAAAAGAGATGCATCCGTTTTAGAGCATGGTGGGAGGACGCCCATATATATATATAGATAGCTTACTACGTTGTAGATTATCATCAGATGTAACTTAACCCTGGCGCACATGTTCAATCATAGATTTTAATTATCATTTAATGTACCAACCACAATTCGCCACAGATGAAATAGCAGGAATTCTTCAATCAAAAGACATGCTTGGAAATGGGTCACCATTTTGATCCATTTTTGGGGTGTCAATATGTTTGACTCATACCTATTTTCACTTTCTGTTTAGCCTTGAAGGCTGTACTAAGCTCACAGCTCTAAACAAGTCAAGATGTTGAGAAATACCCAAGTAGAATCAAGTAGACATATATTGCAAACATGATGGATGGTAAACGGAGATCATGAACACTGACTTCACACTCCGGACATATTCCTGAATTTGATCCAGAATCATCAAACTGGATGAATTATAACGATTCCACTGTGTCACTGGAATGATGCTTAGCAGGGCTTCAGGTTGGTGACTTGTCATAAATCATGCAGATGCAGTCATGGCCATTGTAGATCTCCATGATTCCCATGAAATCCCCATGAAAGATCCATTGAAATTTCACTCCCCGCATGTTATCTAGATGGCAATTTGAGGATATTCCCAGGATATTCCCAGGATATCCCACATGTTACCCTCTGGTAAACTTTCACATAACTATGGAAAATCACCATGTTTAATGGGTAAATCAACGATTTCTATGGCCATTTTCCATAGCTATGTTAGTTTACCAGAGGGTATCCCACATGTTGTCCCCATCCGAGTTTTCTCAGCGCCGCTGAGGTACATCTACTCCCCCGCCCCCTGCGAGCAGGGCCGATACAGCCGGGAGGCGGGTCAATGGTGAGTTTTCCTACGAAAAAATGGTGGGTTTACCTCTTCGAAATGGTGATTATGCCTAGAACAAAATGGTGATTGGGACTCTCTGGTCATTTAACAGTTCGCTGTTGAACATGGTTGAGTTACCGTTGAAATACTGGCAATTTTCCAGTTCGCAAACTGTTAGAGGGCAATCCCATCCCATAGTTCATATTGGTATTGGTTCATGGGAATATCCTGCGAATATCATGGGATTCGACTAGCACATGTTGAAATATTGTGGTGATATACTCTAGGTCAATCTTAGATGGGTAGTTTAATCCTTTAGTCTTTTATAGTCTTTTGCTATCGGGATGATCTACTCACCAGATAAGAATTCGTCATTTTTAGCAGGGTATCATACAGATTGGCCATGTACTTTTAATGGAATCTGGAGGAACTGGAATGACCTCACATTTTTAGTGAAGTTCGGAATGATTTTTGCGATTTGGAGTTGGGGAATCCCCAAATGGCCGTAAAATGTTCAGCCAGAAGAATGAATTATTACTAATAGGATTGAGGATTGATTGGGGAATCATCCCCACATGTATTTTGAGGTTGGTGAATTGTTATGATGCCAGATGAATACATCAACATGGCGCAGGCTCGAAATTTCCCAGCTATAGTTCGATAATTTTCCCATGAACAAACCTCCATGATGTATAAGAGATTTCCCATTGCCATGTTTGATTATCTACTGAGGGGTAATATTGAAGGCTAAAGGACATGTTGCATGAAATATTTGAATACCACACCATTTTAAATTATAGTGGCTTTATATTCCCAATTTCAGGATAGTCAAAGCGTGTTAACCGCAATTTTGTTTTTTAAGATGCATTTATTTAACACTATTATAATATGATATTATATGCATCTACAAAAATCAACATTTCCCATTATACATTGATGGTTGCTCTATCCCATTATCGATGCTCAATATCCCATATATATATGATACATCACATCTCATTATATCAATACCAATGGCCAATATTCTTAATTGTGGGATAGTGAGTTCCAATTACAGCATCTATATGATATCAATATATGTATATATATATACATATCTGGTTGGTGGTTTGGAGCATGAATTTTATTTTTTTCCATATACTGTATTGGGAAGTTCATAATCAACTGACGAACTCCATCATTTTTCAGAGGGGTAGGGCTCAACCACCAACCAGATATGTATCAAAAACAAGAGCTCAGCATTTACATCTCGATTTTTTTCAAGACATGACCTCCCTATGATACCCTCTGGTTATTTAACATAGCCATGGAAAATCACCATTTTAAAGAACGGTAAACCCAGGTAAACCATCTATTTCGATTAGGGCCATCGAAAAACCCTGGCAAACTGTTAGTCAAAACCAGAGGGTATCCTCTGGTAATTTAACATAGCTATTGAAAATGACAATTTATAGTGGATTTTCCCATTAAAAATGGTGATTTTCCATAGTTATGTTAAATTACCAGGCCGGGTATCCCATGGTGGGGCCTATTGAAGTCCCCATTTCTCCAGGGGTTCACCAAGGTGCCCGGCTGCGGCAGTGGCCCCTTCGGTACTGCCGCGGTGGACTACCAACAGGGCCTCAGGTGGGATCACCGGAAATAAAATAACAACTTAAGGTGAGTATAGGTTGAGTCACATCTGAAAAAAAACAATCCAACCGTTGCTTGGAAATCACCAAAACCCCTAAATCCTCCGCCAGTTTCTTACCTGGCTTAAATCCATGTGTTCCTGTGTTTTGGGGTGTCGAATCCCCATGTTGGTAAAATCTCCGTGTCAGTGGATTAGTATGGCTTAGCATGGATTACCCTCTGGTAATGACTCTTACATATTGAAAATGGCCATTGAAAAAGTGAATTTACCCATTGATAGCATGGTGGATCTTTCCATAGTTATGTGAAAGTTTACCAGAGGGTACATTGCAATCCTTTCTTTTTGAGGATGAACATCTGCACGTGCGCTATTTTAGGGTGAACAACAGGGTAATTTGATAGGTGAAATACAATCGCATGTTTACGGACCCCGTGGCCTTCCCTATAGGGGTGTTTCCACACTGAGATGCGCATCCGAGTTGGAACTTGGTCAGGCACTATGAATAACTGGTTGGTGGTTTGGAACATGGCTTTTATTTTTCCATATATTGGGAATAATACTCCCAACTGACTAATATTTTTCAGAGGGGTTGAAACCACCAACCATGCAGATAATATGAACTTTGCCGAAAAACGAAAAAAACGAATTTGCAACTTTAATGGCAAACATGACGACAAACTCTGGGATTTTTGTGCGCGCTCGATTTTCGGAGAAACACGCAAATAGGATCAAGTAGGATCAAATAGGAATGTCCTAATCACTTACCAAGATTCTGATTGGATATATATCATATATCGATCTATATCCTCATCCCCACATGTTGTGCTCTGTTATCCACATCGGCCAGGTGGAAGGGGCTCTCCGAGCTCCCCTCAGACCGTCGATGGGTTGAGGAGTTCGAAAGTGGCCTTGATTGGCCCGGGCACCTGGAGTCGTGCTGAGATGTGGCTAACAGCGGCTAACAGAACCTCCGCCATAGTTGCACTGTGTATATGCAAAGGATCAGAAAATATGGTATAGTAATGTATATAGTTAATCCTATCCACTGAAAACGAGAGTTGTAGGTAAAACATGGTAAAACTTTACTTCTTTTTTATGAGGTTTCGGGCTGGTTATATCCATATATATATAATATATATATAATTCTAATATTGAATACAAAACGCAAAGCAGTTGGGTAAGCGATTGCTAGTCCCTTGAGCCACCAGCCACGATCAGCCACCAGGTTTGATTTACACGCAATGCGAGTCGCCTGAGCGCGGTAGAAAGAAAGGATGCCAATCTGACTGGGCAGATGGGGGTGGTGGAGATGATACCCTCTGGTTATGTCAAAATAGCTATTGAAAATGGCCATTTATAGTGGATTTACCCATTGGAAATGGTGATTTTCCATAGTTATGTTACTTTACCAGAGGGTATACAAAATGTCATTTCCTATGAACTTCTGAAATTCCTCTTAAAACTTACCATGGACACGAAGAAACTGGAAGTTGACATGATTCAAGACTTTGGTGTAGCTGACCATTCTTACCTTTTTACCAGTGTTCCTGTCAGGTGCCTATGGCTACTATAAAGCAGGAAGTTTGTGTGGGCACCCAGCCTTAGCGCTGTCAACAGACCGCGTATCCCATGGTCTCCCTATGAATTGAGGAACCAGGAGCTGAGCTACCAGTTTTCCAACCACATGAGAGCGACTCAAACATGGACAATATGGGTTTGTAACATGTTTTTTTGAGGGAAAATCCCATTGCATCAACGCAAATTGTCTTCTGGAAATGAAACATTGCAATTGACAATCCTATATAAATCAGGGTTTTAATGGGAATAACGTCGAACCGAATGGGAATTTGCTACTGTAGCAAACCATGTTTGATTACCAGAGGGTAAAATGATTGAGTCATCCAACCATTTTCTGACTGTAGTCATCTGTAGTCCTTCGGAATCTGACCCGGCTCTGTGTATCCCTCATTTGTAGATCTTTGTCGATGATTTTCGGGATTTGCCAGGTTACCCTCTGGTAAACATACAATAAACCTATTGAAAATCACCATTTTTCATGGGTAAATCCACTATAAATCACCATGTTCAATGGGTAAATCCACTATTTCAATGGCCATTTTCCATGTCGCTAAACTGTCTGTTTACCAGGCCGGGTAGCTAACGGTGAGTGGAAACCGGCTCAAGATGGGTATCCCATGGTGGTGGATCTTTCCATGGCGAAGTGTTAAATCACCAGATGGTAAGCTATATATGGCTATGGATCAATACCTATGAAAATACCATTTTTAGTGGGAATGAACATCCATAAATCCCAGCTATCTTGATGTGAACTACAGGGGTACAAGGTTTTGACACACTGCCATATATGTGATTATAGTGTAAATTATATGGAAAATCACCAGATTATAACATAACTATGTGTTACTAATTTTCCATGTGTAAATCACCAGATGGTAAGTCTAAACAAAAACATCCATTTCGTTATTTGGTTGACAATATGAATCAGGATATGAGCTAACACCAAAAAGGTCTATGTAGGGGGTATGTATTGGAATGGAATATAGGTCAAAACCTGCAAAAGCGAAGGCGACCTTTTCTAACGAAGGCAAACCTTACAACTAAAGTTTGTTGATAGATTTTCATGTGAGCAGCGAACGTCAAGAATGGTGTATCATGGAGTTATTGTTTGGTCTTTACCCGTTTTCCCTTGTCTTCCTTTTATTTGTGAAGGTCTGGTCGAAACCCTTGTAAAACGAAGGCGACTTTTTGTAACGAAGGAAACATAGATATTCCATTTTGGGGCAATAGAGTTTTGGAGGTAGCTCATATGTTATATATATATATTATATGTCCACACCAATTGTTATATTATATATATATGATATATATATATATATATATCCACACTAGTTGTTCTTGGTTAAAGCCCCCAAAAGATATTGCTTCGCCCGTTGGGTGCCCAAAAAGAGGCCCTCTCTACTGGGCGGCGGCTCCTGTGGCGCTTTGATGGTGCGGTTTTTCGGGTTCCAAACAGAACGAAGCGAACGCAAGTTGTAAAGGGGGGATGGAATAAATGAGCGGATAGTAAGGGATTACATGGGGATTATATGGGGAGTATGAACATTTAAAGTATTGAAAGAATTGGAACTATAACCCCCTATTTCAAGAGCTAACTTGTAAGGGATTATGACAAATGGCTATGAGTCAGTTCACCAAACGGGACCCGGATGGCATCCAGATCGTCATAGCTGGTTAATGGATGTTTATTCCCGCAAAATATGATACCCTCCGGTAAACATACAAAAAAACTATGGAAAATCACCATCTTTAATGGGTAAATCAACTATAAATGGGCCATTTTCCATAGCAAACTGTTAGTTATTACCAGAGGGTAATGATAGGTTTTTGAACCATCCCCATAGGCTTATACTTACAATGCGGATTATACTTATCACATCTGATCAATATGTTGTTTAAGAAATGAAGAATAAAAAAGTGACATCACCCAAGCTAACATGTTCAAAACCCTGGTTTGTTGATGATACTTACCAATATATCAGGGATTATACTTACCAATATATCCGGATTATATTGGATATTGGATATTGGTAAGTATCAACCAATCACCACATTTTTGATGATGATTTGGGGAATTATACTTACCTATATATATATATTTACATATATATATATCAGGGATGATGAAAATCCATTGAGGGAATCCCATGCTCAAATGGATTGGTGAAGGTATCGCAGTTGAGTTGACCAAACTCTGAACTCTACATGGATTTTAGCTGGAAACCACTCCTGGATAGTGTTTCTTGAGTTGCAACCACAACGTCTAGTTTTAAGCCTTAAAAAACGCCTAAAAACTGCCCCAAAAAAACATCCCAAAAGATATGTTGATATCACCAACAACCATATCTATATAGTCAACTTACAGCGGCTGGTAAATAAACGTATATATTCCATGACTTGCGGATTTAGAACATCGCGCCAAGGTGATTGTTAGTGATTTTGACCTTGTTGGTAGTGATTTCCCTGCTTGGCCAGATGGTTACCCTCTGGTAATTTAACATAGCTATTGAAAATCACCATTTTCAATGGGAAAATCCACTATAGATGGCCATTTTCAATAGCTACGTTAAATTACCAGAGGGTAGCCCGGAAACTCGCCGCCAGTTTGCGAGTGGTTTCATGGTCGAGAAGGATCCGCAGGCCGCTTGGTTTTTTGTGCCTCTCTAAAGCTTGGGATCAAGTCGGATCAAGAGCTTGTTGGCCCCCAAATGGCAAATGTTTTACAGGGAACATGAACATGATACCCTCTGGTAAACTAACATAATGGAAAATCACGACTTTTAATAGGTAAATCAACTAAAACTGGGCCATTTTCCATAGCAAACTGTTAAATTACCAGAGGGTAAGCGTTTTTATTTTGGGGGAGCCATTGGAAGGGCCGAAAAAACACGGCATTTTTGTTCAAGTTTCGGAACTGGAGAATGTCCCACAATTTGATTGCATCAGCGGCCCAAAGAAATAGCAACTTTGATAAAAGTAGCAGTTGACACTTCTGGGGATAGCTTGCCTGTGCCCATCCAACCATTTTTTTACATATTTTTACTTTATTATCCATATTATATATATATATATTAAATACAATATATTATTAAATTTAGCAATCTTTAGCTTAATCAAAGAGTATGTTTCTAAATGTTGAATTTCTAAACTCAAGGTGCACCAACTTCCTGATTTCTTTTGATATGTAAATGAACATCGCTATGAAGCCTTGAACATTCGATTTGAATTCCTCGCTGATTTCGAGTGTGCCGCCCAGTGCGCCTTCATTCTGGGCTCCGCCACCAGTGGTGTCCTAACAGCTGACAGCTCAGGGGACCCCAACAATTGGCAAGTTTAGAGGGAACATGATGATGATATATATATAATATAATATAATATAATATAATATATATATATATATGATGATGGTAATTTTTATCATCAGACAAAGCAGCATATATATTCAGCATTAGCCAAAAGGTTCGCAACAGGGGATTCCTAGAAGATCTCACATGAATGATTAAATTAACTGCCAGTTTATAGCAATTTCAATAATGAACATGATGATAAACCGTGTGATTTGGGTCTGCCTATTTTCAGACACACCCACATAATCCCACATATATATATTATAATAATCCCACACATATATATATATATATTATATATATATAGTATACAATATACCCAGTTATACTGGGATAGAACCCAGTGACGAAGCAGCAAACTCTATGGCCCATCTAAATCTAAGCAATGTTTCCCCACAAGATCACCACCCAGATCAGGCCAACGACGCCAACGATTTTCGAAGAGTGAGGTGTAGCAAGAAAAAACATGAAGGTTTTTCAAACATGTGAAAACAACAAGCTTATCGAAGCTCTAGTGGTATGTATTGGATGTACCATCTGGTTATTTAACAGTTCGCCATGGAAAATCAACACCATGCTACTAAGAACGGTAAACCATCTATTTCGATTAGGGCCATCTATGCCATGGCAAACTGTTAAATAACCAGAGGGTAATCATTTTTTGGGTCTTCAGGGAAAGTTTTTTTTCAGGTCAAGCCTGGATTCACACACCCTTGATCAAAAATTGATCAAGCTTCGGATCACCCCTGGCCGCATGGCTTCATGGTTTCATGGTTTCATGGTTTCAGGTGATTTTTTAGGTGATGTCTCGGATGACATACAGTATAGATTACCCAGAAATGGCCCAGAAACCATATGGATGGGTGTAATTTCTTGTCATGTTTGATCGTATATGTCTGTATTACATGGGATGATTTTGGATCTGTGTCCATCATGATAAGTTGTTTTTGGGTTTTTGGCAATGCTGGGGGGTTGAACGTTGAACACTTCGAGTTTTGCAACGATGTGTGTTGTTATAGACTTTAGAACTTATTTTGATACTGGTTGGTGGTTTTAATCATTTTTTATTTTCCATAATATATGGATATATATGGGATAATCATCCCAACTGACTAATATTTTTCACGAGGGGTTGAAACCACCAACCAGGATATGTCATGATTCATTCATGATATGTCATCATACCTCATCATCCGTCCCAGGCTGGAATGTTGCCACGTTTCTTGAGCAGCAAAAAGGTCTGGCCCGAACATGCTAGTGATGAGTGTTGCGCCCATTGGGAATCATGGCATGGCAAACACAAGGAGAATGCTTGTGACAAAGCCCTACATGACTCTCAGTGTCTATGAATGTCGATGGTGAATGATATTCTTAGGGGTTGGCCCTGTAGGTCATCAAGACGCTTGTCTCATGTTGTCTCCCTAGAAACATTTACAATTCTTGGATGGTCTGGGTTTTGGTTCCAAACAACAATTTCAACGTGACAGATTCATCGTGCTTTGATTTCCACAGATTGGCCATGATGATTTTGTGTAGTTTTGGGGTCCCCTTTGGTAAACTAACAGTTTGCTATTGAAAATGACCCCGTTCTAGTCGATTTACCTATTGAAAGCAGTGATTTTCCATATGATTTTGTGTATTTTAGGGCTATGGCCGGTATGGGTCAAAACCTAAGAATCGAAAGACGCACATCGCTACCCGAGCTTCCCAAGCTTCACCTATATCCAAATCTGGATTCTCCATGATTCTCCCCAGTCTGATGTGTCGCCTCATGGGCTCGTCCATGAAAATGTTGTGTGCCCCCAAATCAACTGGTTAATTGTTAATTGTTCTGTTAACCTCGGAATTGGATGTGAATTTGTGAATTGGATATTTTGGGAGTACATCAGTACATATATACTCAATTTCACCCATAGTGTGTTTTTTTCGTTGGTTGTATATCATATCTCACTTTTACATATCCCGTCATATCTCCCGTCATGTGCTTCACCTTTTAAACACCGCTGGAGCTGGGCGTTTCGCAGATGATGCCCACTGGCATGGTGTCGCTGATCGGGCTGATGGTTCCGGTCCTCGGCGGTGTGCGGCGCTGGATGAGGTCACCATTTTTGTGCATGGAATGTGAACAGTTTGGAGTGGTGAATTTGGACATGACATGATATGGGTATGGATTAATACCTATTAATACCATTTTTAGTGGGATGAACATCCATAAATCCCAGATATTTTGATGTTCACCAGGGGTACCAGGGTTTTGACTCATAGCCACATGATATGACATGGACCACAAAAAGTTCATTCATGTCCATTCTAATCCACCAAGAACTTGTGGTTGAATCCGCCCATTTGGAAAGATGACCAAACTGGCACAACATCCGCTGGTCATCCAACAAGAAGTTTGACGCATGCAGCGGCTTCGTCGCATGCCAAGGCCTTTGCGTACAACTGCATGCAGCTAAACAAATGGTGGGACCCGGAGGCTGGAACTGGTTGCTTGGACGAATCCCATCCCCATGACTTTTGCGGCAAAAAAAACATGAAGAAATGGTGATTTTTGTTGGTTTTAATATGGTTTTAATCATGTTTCCAAGAAAAACATGGTAGACTTCTTGATTTCCAAAAAAACATGACCAAAAAAAATCGGCAATCCAAAATGCAGTGGAACTGACCAGATACCCGGATTTTTGTTGAGTTGGTGATTTTGTTGTGTTCCAATGTATGCATCCATTATTGAGGAATCTATACTGAACTGGGTGAAGGATGGAGGAAGACATTCGAGAATGGTTGCAAACTTTACAGTAGCTATTTGTAGACTGAATATATTAGAATAGCATGTGCTAGTATCATAGTTGTATGTGTGTGATGTATAGCACCCCCAAAAGAGATAGAACATTAGAACCGCGCCTTCACAATGTTTTATGGCATTTGTTTTCTTCACATTATACCACAAAAAAATGTGTTTTTTTCTATCTATTTTTGGGGTTGCGATATACACGCCACCAAAGATCAGCTCAACGGGTTGCGAAGTCCCCAGTTGAACACAGATCTGACGGACCTTCGCTACAGGAGCTGCCATTTCTCAAAGCCAAGTGAGAAGGCGAAGGCGCCGTCAGAGAAGAACATGTTGGAAAACTCGCTGGGAGAAACATGAGAATAGTGATGTTTATATATGTTTATTGATTTATAACTATATCTTGGGATAACTATAATTATCACATATTATCACCATATCGTGGGATTTGGATGTTATTTCTATCACAAGGTCCCCGAAGATTCTTGTTTTTTTTTGGCTTTTGGAGTTTTTCACAGAATTCCATGGCCCGCGGATGGCGCACCTGTTCGCCGCAGCAATTTGGCAGCATTGACACAGAATTTTCCACAGATGGGGGTTCAATGAAACTTGACCAAAGAGAAAGCATTTGCAGCCCAAGTGCACCGGAATACTGTGGTTTTTCCCCCGTAAAATGGCCCATCGGGACGGTCGTTTTGCCCGACTGAATGGGTTTTTGGCCCAGTCCTTTGCCAGCCGGGGATCGATGTTTCCGGCCCAGATATAGAATCAAGAACTTGTAAGACATGGATGTTCTTAGTCAAGGTTCGAATACAAACAGCCTTTGGTGACAATGTGTTTGGTCCTTGAAGCCGATGCCACGAAAAGTCTCAATAGCTGCATGGAGAAGGGCTGGAACAACCAATGATCGACAGGTGAACGGTGTAAGAAAGGCCAGAAAATCGAAACCAAATCAGAGAGACATGGAAAGTCAAAACCCATTTCGCCCACAGGTGGGAACATTGAAACCAAAACTTCAACCAAGTCCCTGATACTTTTATCACGGTTTCCGGTGAGCAGTAAACTAATCAATTATATTCAATTATCATTTTGAAAACGTAAATAATTAATTTCATCAAAAACTGATTTTGCATGTGCCATCTATATCATCTATACCACTTTCCCAGATGAGTTTTTAAAGATAATATTAACCCGTACTAACCAGTACTAACCAGTACTAACCAGTCACCAGTGACATCGAAAAATCATCGCCATGGCGAGTGGCTTGGCTGGCAAGGTGCGTCGCAGCACCGAGTCGGATGAGTTTGACCTCAGCGGCTATGACCAGGTGCCGCAAAGCCGCGGTCAGCTATGGAAGTGCCGAATTGGGTGGTCAGAACCATAGGATTCATCGGATTAAGCCATTTAATATGATAGCAGATATAGGATTAATTAAGCCATTATATATTATATAACTATACAATATAGACAATTAATATTTAATATGATAGCATTAACTAATATTAACTATAGAAAGCATCATGATTTTATCCCATGTTTATGTGGATATCCATCGGATTATCCATCTATGACTATCCATTTAAGCCGCTATGACTTGGGGGCACCGTTTGGATATAGCGACATCTTGATGCATGACCTCATGACTAGAAGGCTTTAGATCCAAATAGGGGTACCCAATAGCTGGATGGTTTCTTTCATGGAAAATCCATCTATAAAATGGATGATTAAAATGGGGGTACCCCCATAACTTAGGAAACCTTAAGATATCTGAACAATATGTTAAAACCCTTTCCCCGATTTTCTAAGAACAAGCGGGACAAGAAAAAAAACACGGGACTGGTCCATTGTAGGGTCACATGGAATGGAGAGTTTTGGAGTTTGGGACTATCCGTTGAGGTCCTCCAAAAATGGCCGGGGAATCCCGGAAAATGAAGCTTTCAGTGGGAATTCATCATCATCGAACTGGCTGGGAGATGGTCCAGCCATGTGAGCAAACCGGAGGATAGGAGGAGTTTCAGATAGCCAAAATCTTTGACCAGGAATCAGTCGGGACTTTTCTGAGAACTGGAATTTCTTGCAGTTTAAAGCTGAATATGAATGGAACATCGGCCATCTTTATCCATTTATATATTGCCAAGATTTGCCAAGAGGAATGGAGAGGTGCCTTTTTTGGCTAACTTGATATAACTTGATCTGGTTGGTGGTTTGGAACATTTTTTATTTTTTCATATATTGGGAATAATCATCATCCCAACTGACGAACTCCATCATTTTTCAGAAGGGTCGGTCAACCACCAACCAGTTGGGGTACTCCAATGATCCAATGGGGAGCCAAAAAACGACTTAAAACACCGATCCCGGTTTGATGTCGACACAATATTAATCATGTCAATTCTTAGAACTATATACCAAGGTAATTACATAGGGCAACAGCTTTTCGATGTTTTTGTTTCCTATTCTTTCCATATACCATCTGGTTATGACTAACATAGCCATGGAAAGATCCACCATTTGTAAGAACGGTAAACCATCTATTTCTATGGCATCAATGGGCCATCTATTCCATGGCAAACTGTTAGTCATAACCAGAGGATATATATACCCTACCCTTCGGTTGTTTTATGTGAGGCTCGTTGCAATGAGTTGGCCAAAGCCTGTTTCGGTGAGCCCTTTCCGCTGAAGGATCCGTGAACTCAGTGGGGGTTTCTGGGTGATTTTCCATGGCAATTTTGGATGACCAGAGGCTACCCGGCCTGGTAAACTAACACCAAAAACGATGGACAGATCCACGATCCAGCATGCTATTCATGGGAAAATTCGAGTTCACTAGATGGTGATTTTAACCATAGTTATGTAACAAGTTACCAGAGGGTACTAATACAAAATATTACAAAATGCTGATGTTCAAAAGCTTCACAGTTTATTTTTTTGTGACCTGAAGAAATGATTCTCCGGTTTGCTTCTGCTCCTTGCTGCTCCTTGGACGCGTTGCCCAATGGTTTCCCTTCGAACACGACAAACGATGCTGGGGTGGGGGATTACCAGTGGTTAGAAGTTGGTGATATACCTGCCACCTCCAATCCATATCCTCCGTGTTTGCTGTTGATATCCTAGGATCTCATGATTCGCCAACAACTGATGATTAATCCCAAGCCATCGGTAAGAGCCATCCAAGGTTTCCCCAATTTTGGGATATTTTTTTTATTTGGGAATGTGTCAACACCTAGTACTACCCTCTGGTAAACATACAAAAAGCCATTGAAAATGACCATTTATAGTGGATTTACCCATTAAAAATGTGGATCTTTCCATAGCTATGTTAGTTTACCAGAGGGTACCATATTAACCTCCATTCACCAGCTATGTTAACCGGTACCATCCGGGTCGGCCAAGTGCTTCTTCGAATTCGCTCCCGGACACCACCCCAGGAGATGGTGAGAATTTCCTTCGTCGTGGGCGGTGGCAAGTTGGTGCGACAGAGACTCTGCCTGGGATGAGGTGCTACCATTTGGTATTTTCATCGAAACACATGGTAGAATACCACAAACAAATGCCTGAGATGATCACTTGAAATGGGATTTTCATCGAAAAAAAACAGCATTTCTTTGTGGTATACCGCTTTTTTCTCTTCATTTTTCTCATAAAAGGTTCAGACACATGGCCTCAAACTCAGGGAATGTTGGGCTTTTATTTGGTCATTTTTGTCCCATTCCCATGGAGGACATCTTTGAAATCCCATACAAGGTGGTGCCCCATAGTTAGCTAAGTTGGTTTATAACTCCAATAACTATGGTTTATGGTAGATGTATCTATAGTTAATGGGGTTTATAAACCAACTTATAACTGGAGGAGCACCACCTTGTATGATTGGCTGGTTAAACCCCCATGGTGACTGGTGACTGGTTCAACCCGCCGAAGTCTTGGAGCGCAGTCAGCGCCCTTGCGCGGCTCAGGAAATACTCAGATGATTTGCCCAAGTTTATGGTGCCTCGGCCAACTGCTCCATGGATGTTATTAATGATGTATCCCATAGGATCCATGTATGGTATATATATATACTAACATTGGGGGTATATTGATGGTAAATGTTACCATATATGGCATACATGGATCCTATGGGTATGTACCTACAAAAAATATAAAACCAACAAATATAAAACAAAAGGGTGATTCTTGGGATGATGGTAAATGTATATTCCACACATGGAGTATATGGGCAGGACAACCTGTTGACTTGCCGCTATGGTAGATGTTTCCTAGTCTGTTTCCACATATATCTTTCATGTCCAGCTCCCATTTCCTCGGCAGCTACTGTTCCTGACGGGCTCAATGATGACAACTCCCCCAGATAAGAGGCCCAGGAGGCCAGGAGGGTTATTTTTGTTGATAATGCCAATGCCATCTATTTAACGATTCAAAGTATCCAACATAGTCCAATCTTTAGCTACAACATCTACAAACCAACTACAGCCTATCTATAACATTCTATAACTATAGGCTTTACCCTCCTGTAATCATTCAGATGGCTTGTGGGAAAGCATGAATCGTGCCATGATGTTCCCAGCTCTTCCATTTTCGGGATTGCCTTCCTGTTGCCACGTTTGATGGCACCGGATGGTATGGTACATATACTGGTTGGTGGTTTGGAACATGAATTTTATGACTTTCCATATCTTGGGAATCATCATCATCCCAACTGACGAACTCATATTTTTCAGAGGGGTAGGGATACCACCAACCAGTATGGTATATATAAAACTAGTTAGTAGCAATGGGGTATGTACACCAACAGACAGAACTGAGGGGGCCAGAAGGTGGTACCCGCAGTTAATTATGTCTGTTGTTTTTTTTGCCCGCATGAAGTAGTTCGATATATCTACCAGAAACATCCATAAACCAGAGTTAATTCACCTAGTTATTATGTTCACCAACTTCGCGATCGAAAAAACGGGGCCACCACCTTGCACCGAAGGTCAATGCCCTGGGAGCCATCGGATTCCAGGAGGACGAGCTGTCCATCATGGACATCTGGACATCGGAAATTTCCGCACTCAATGAGCATTTGAAATGGAAAGATCATGGGAAATCCCCTAGACATGGGCATTTTAAATCATGTTCATGGGAAAAACATCTACAAATCGGGATTTGGGAACATCGTGGTTAGAATTGGCTCAACCCACCCATTTCCGTGTCGATTTTCCTTTATTGGGAACACCATCTCTAATGGAGAATTCTTGCGCATCTCAGTTCCTATTTGCGCCATGGTCAAAGGTTGGATGAGATTAACCCTCTTCTTGGAGGATGGTCATGATGGTGGGATGACCATATAGCCCACATATTCTGTTTTGACTACACATCTGTGATGGGGGACATTATGCTGCTTTTGATGGTTCTCCGAACTAAGCATTGTCAATAAGAGTTTAACAAAGAGGCTTTGATAAACCTAATATATAGTGGAAAACATATAGATGGGTCTTGACGCCCCTTGGAACTTGGAGTTTTTTCAGAAGTTTATATGGGTTCCAGCATTGTAGCTGGCAACCATAGAACCCTCAGATATCAATCACCACCTTCAAAAGGTAAAGAAACACGTGGTAAAGCACATAACCATCCCAACCATTTAAGGGGTCATTCTACATCATCCCAAACCCAATATATATATATATTTATATGTATATATATATATATATGTATAAATTATATATATATATATATGTATATGTATATGTATAATAAACCTAGACCTACAATGACATACATTTCCAGCAGTCAGCCATGTTGGTTTACCCGAGGCTATTTCGGTAACCACACCATGAACCAGACTCCGGGATACGTTTTGACCAGAAAGTCAAGGCCTTTTCCACCCCCCAAAATTAAGAATCATGATCCTAGAGAGACCTGGTTGGTGGTTTCAAACATTTTTTATTTTCCAGAATATATGGGATAATCCTTCCCATTGACGAACTCATATTTTTCAAGATGGTTAAAACCACCCCAGAGACAGACTTACAGTAATTCCCAGAAAGAAAGTCAAATCCTGTATTAAATAGACTTCACAAAGATTAAAGTTAAAATCCAGATTGGTTTTGGTGGGACAATCTACAGGAAGCTGTATTCTTCCCCCAAAATAGTCTGCATATGTCTGCCGATTTTCCCACCCAGATTTCTATTTTTTTTTTGTGAGGGGGCTCCCATATGGGTGTATCTGGAATTATGGAAAACAAAAACCAAGAACGGCTATTTGGGGGTTTCCAAAAATAGGGCTACCCCAAATCATCCAAGTCAGAAACAACCATGACTTAGTATTGAAACCAAAAAAACATCTGTGACAAAAGGGGACTTCAGACACCCTTATATATCCCATTATACCAGCATTCTATCAGCATTATATCACCTTTATATTCCCATATTTGTTAGTGAGAGTCAAATCCCATTAAATCTTATTCTATCACCATGATATTCACATATTTGCCAGTTAAATCCCATTAAATCTCATGATAGTCCATTATATCCCTTGATATATCCCACAATAAATCCCCATTCTCCCATGATATCCTTTGTTTTTGGATGATGTTCCTTTAACATATCCCTTACCCTCGGGTAAACTAACGTAACTATGGAAAATCACCAGTTTTAACTATAAATGGCCATTTTCAACAGCTATGTTAGTTCACCAGAGGGTAAATCCCATGAAATCTTCCCATTTTTTTGCTGAAAACAGAGCTTTTCTCAAACACCAGGACAATAGCGCCACCGTGGAGGCGGGAAGTGCCGGAAAGTTCAAGTATCATCACGTGACCTGGCGGGCCGGTCGAAACTACTGGGGACCGTGGGGTTTTCCTATAACTGGGTGGTGGTTTCAAACATGATAAAAATCCTTCCCATTGACGAACTCCATCATTTTTCAAGATGGTTAAAATCACCAACCAGATGATGTTGATAGGAAGATTTCATGGGATTTAACTAGCAAATATATGGGAATGTAATGGTGATACAATGGAATATAACTGGATGAATCATAACGACCTCACTGCGACCGAACCCTGGATTAGAGGTTAATAAGAGGAATCATCCCAGAACAGCCTTATTTCAGATGAGTGAATTATTTAATTTACCCAGATGTGTGCAGATGTTTTTTTTTGTGTTTTTTTTCATAGTAAAGTGTGAAAGTACCGGAGGGTATATCTGGAGGGATGGAAGTTGTTTTATGTTTTTTTGGTTTCATGGAATCTAAATTAGATCGATATGATACGATCTAATGGGATTTATATTATGATATTACTTATAATTGAATCTAAATTAGATCGATTCTACAATCTAATGGGATTTAATGGTATTAAATGGAATTTAAATGGAACTGAGTTGAATTTAACAGGGATATACCAAGCAATAATGGGGGTGGAATGGGATTCTCTTCAATAGGTCCGATAGTAAATCATCATACTCAATGGGCCAAGTTCCAGTTCGCAAACTGAAAAAAACCGGAGGTTCAGCATTTACAACAGGGGACTGCGGACTGTGTTTTTATCGATCCAACAATGTGGGCCCAAAATTTCGGGAAACCTTTGGATGTTCTGAGTCGGTGATGGAAATCAGCATCTAGCAGTGATTTTCGATTTTTGGGCCCCTTTTCTGGACATCCTCTTCTATCTTTTTGGGGCGACGTTCGATCATGCAATCAGCTAGTTGTTCCTTAAGCTATGACTCGTGTTCCGGGTATTTTTCAGGGTGAAATCTGATGATTCAGCCGTGGGAGATGGTGAAAAAGTGTGAAAGTGAAGTGCCCGCGGCCCGAGGATACGAACAAGAACCTGAAGTTTGTGCATGTCTTTCCAAAGATTGCTGAGGTGAGCGCAGGAGTGGTTTTTGGTGATCAGGTTTTTACCCCATCAGAACACATCCATAAATTGGACAACCCCGAGTTGCATATATGAGATACAAACGACTAAACGTTAATAAAGCAATGATAAACCACCAATATTTTCATGGTTGCGGTACAATTGGGGATGGTTTACTGTTGCTGTACTGACCACTTACATCCAATTGGTGAACGAATCATACACTTCCACTTCGAGATGTTCGCAGGTTTTGAGTCCTTTCTGGTAAACTTATGGATCTTTATGTTTTTGGGTTTACCACTGGCTTTAATTTATTGGTACACTATAACTAGACTATAACTTGGGTTTGGATCACAGTGGAGCTGTTAGCCGTGGATCCAAGTGCCATTTGAGGGAGTACTTGAGGTATGATTAGGAGGTGTCAAGTGTTTTTGAGAAGGAACTACTTGGATCCATAGGGTGTATGACATATGATATATACATGTGTGTATATATATAATTATATACCATCTGGTTATTTAACAGTTCGCCATGGAAATCCCTCATAAATGGAGGTTTCGTTCGCTGGGAAAATCATCTATTTCTATGGGCCGTCTATACCATGGCTATGTTAGTCATAACCAGAAAATACACATGGCAACCCCCATTGGGGTCGCGCCCCAAAAATCCTTCGGAAATTCTGGGGAGAACATCATCGAAGACTAAAAAAATCTGGCTTCACGCTTTTCAGCATCTTGTTAGGGGTTGTTATATACATATATACAGAATTATACACATATATAATATAATGCTGTTATACTAGATATCATAGGAATATGGATATATATATATAATATATATTGGGATCGTTTTGGGGGTTGCTATAGTATGTCAGGGGGTAAACCCTAAACCATCCTACTAACCAACCATTTGGGGGTCATTTACCAACCATTGAAGGTATATCATATATTAGGATATGCATATGAACACATACAAGTTACATAATTTCGACCTTGCCTCCTCCCACTAACCAGTTGAACAATGGCCTTTCACACACATACATACCCTCTGGTAAACTAACATAGCTATCAAAATCACCATCTTTAATAGGGAAATCAATTATTTCTATGGCCATTTTCAATAGCTGTGTAACAAATTACCAGAGGGATCCAGAGGGTATATCCCATTAATATCCCATTGAATCACTGTAAAGTTCCATTAAATCATTATAAATCCCATTATTATATTAGTTTACCAGAGAGTAACATATTTATGTGAACATCAACTACATCACTGCGCCAGGCGCCCGCACCCGAGCAGCAAGCTGATGAGGGCCTGGCGGGCCCCCGTGTGTTGAAGACACCGGAGGAGCTTCTGCTGGAGACGCTTGGGAGATGAAGGGCTGGGATGCTGCTATGGATGCCGTGGATCAATAGCTATTGATACTGCAAACTAACATAACTATGGAACATCACCACTTTTAATGGGAAAACTCACTATAAATGGCCATTTTCAATAGCTATGTTAGTTTACCAGAGGGTATTGATACTGTAGAATTTGTTGATGAACATCCAGAAGCAGCTATTTTGATGTGAACAATAGGAGTATATACATTGTTTCGACGGTTAGATCTCTTCCCAGCAGGATTAAACCATTATTTACCGGGTATTTGACATAGCTCTAGAAGCCATGGCCCATTTACATAGTTCGGTGATTTATGAAGAGAACTACCCTCTGGTAATTTGTTACATAGCCTACATAGCTATGGAAAATGGCCATTTATAGTTGATTTACCTCTTGAACATGGTGATTTTCCATAACTATATGTTAAATTACCAGAGGGTACCTGTCAAACATGGTGATTTTCCAGTTCGCAAAGCGTTTTTCATCACCAGAGGGTCACCAGATTTGGATTGAACCGCCGGCAGCGTTGGGATGGCGTTGCGAGCCAAAAAATCACGATGAGACTGGGAGTTGACCAATGAAAACGGGGATTGAACCAGCTAAACCCAACCAGAATTGGGACTTAAGCAACAAACAGTTGGATTTTTTTTAGATGTACCCTCTGGTAAACTAACATAACTATGGAAAATCACAATTTTTAATCGGAAAACTGACTATAAATGGCCATTTTCAATAGCTATGTTAGTTTACCAGAGGGTATTTATCACCAACAGAAACCACATTTTGATTAATATCCATTCCTCAAGGTATGCCGAGCAGACTGGCAGTCTCGCGTTGTGGAACCCCCATGGCTTCCTAGGAGATCTAGAAATGGTGGGTTAAACCCACATCTATGTCAACGTTCACAGGAGTGTACCCGGCCTGGTAAACAAACAAAAAGCTATTGAAAATGGCCATAGAAATAGTTGATTTACCCATTAAAAATGGTGGATCTTTCCATAGTTATGTAAACGTTTACCAGAGGGTATCCATCCACATTTTTACTCTTCTGGACTGAGGAGTGAAGAAGCAGATTTCACTCGCTTCCTGCAGACACACCTGGCGCCTTGATGCGGAGAAATGCCCAATTTCACCAGAATTGGGTGGAAAGGTGCCTCCAAAACTTAGAGGTTTATTATCAGCCCCAACCTTGGATAGGTCGTTTACAGTAATCCTTTAGTGAATGTTTAAGCTATCAATGGAAAATACCATTAAAAAAAGCCAAAACTAGCAAACTATGCCTTTCTTTAATGCCACAGATTAACCATGTTATCGGGTTTACCATGGTTTACCACATTTGCATACTGTAGATATCGTTGAACTCGCGGCTAGAGGCTCGCTCCCAAGATGGCTTTTTCTGCAAATAGGGTACATCACTGGCATGGCCATGTTCATTGGGACATCATGATAACATATGATAACCCATTGCTGGTTGGTGGTTTCAAACATGGCTGGATTATTTTCCATTTCATATATGATATATTATATATATATGGGATGTCATCCGAAACCCATTGACGAACTCCATCATTTTTCAAGATTGTTAAAACCACCACCAACCAGATTGGAACTGGGCATACCCCTATTTTCAGACAAACCTGTATATATAGGCATTTCCTGAAATGGGGGTACCCCTAAATCATCCATTCTAAGGGGATGTTCCATTCTAAACCATCCAGCTATTGGTGTATCCCCATTTCTGGACACACCCCATGTGAGTAGAAACGACGCGTAAAAGCCTGGCCGAAATCTGCACGAAAGTCCCCGGAAATCCAACTTTTCTTGCCGATCCCGATCCCATCTTACCGATCAACTGATGCCATTCGCATAGCCATTGTGGTCACATTGGCTGTGAAATGGGATGACCATAACACATCATAACACCATATATACAGTGTATGTATGTATGTATTATTATGTATTCTAGTTGTTATGTCCCATTCTTTTCCCATTATTCGTTGAGTCCCATATATCCCATATATTCCCAGTTTAGGCCATGAAAAACTTGGCACGTAACCAGCTGGCATTCCCCTCTGGTAGCTGCAGGTGACCTATGCACAGAAGCGAAAAGCCTTGGAACTTCTGAAGCAGCGCATCGCGGTGCTGGAGGAGATGGAAATGGTTGGATTTTGTCATGATCTAAAGATAGATGTGATAGATTTTAGATCATGGCATAAATCTGACCATCTATCTAATACCATACTTGTTTTGATGGATATGTTTTGATAGATAATCATGTTTTTGTTAGATTTTGTGGATTATCTATCAAAACATATCTATATTTAGATGATGATGGAGATGGTTTGAAAATCTAGATTTTGTCATGATCTGTCTACATGTTATAGCAACCCACAAAAAGATAGAAGGGAATTCATCATTACTACTGTAGTGGGATTTAAGGTTTCTATCTGTTTGGGGTGTTGCTATACTGTAATTATAAAATATTATATAGTGTTTACTGTTGTATGTGTATATAATACATACCAGATGCTCCATGTAGGGTATATCTACCTACAACAATGTGTGATTTTCGGGGTAAATGTTGATACATATTCCAGTACCATGGAGCATATGGGTATTTTTTTGTGATCCAGAAGAGGCCGAAAAGAAGTATGTATCATTATGTATCACTATTTTAATGGGAGTCTATAATTGCTGTTCCATCTTTTTTGGTGGTTACTATATCATAATGGAATACACTTATTGGATCTTATGTAGTATTTAATCAACAATATCCTGTATGTAATGTAATCAAATGTACTGTAATGTACCGTAATGTACCGTAATCTACTGTAGCGTAATGTAAATGTAATGTAATTTAAATGTAAATGTAAATTTCCAAACTTACAGTGATTTACAGTGATTTAATGTGGATGAAACAACAATAAACCACCCATGACTGGGGGATGGTTTATGGCATTGTGTATGGCATTGTTTATGGCATTGTTTTACCCACATTATTACCCATTACTAACCATTATTGCCCATCAACCGTTATGAACAAGAATTACCCACGATCTGAACCATAGATGAACCGCTCAACCATTCTTCGACCATATCTCAACCATAGATAAAACCTATTTCCTGCATTTTATTACCCATTATTAACAATGATCAACCATTATCAACAAGAATTAGCCACATGAAATGGTTATTTTCAATAACTTTTTGTATGTCTTCCGCAGGAGATCGAGCTGAAGCTTTCGCGGCTGGAACGCCTCAGTGATGAGGAGCAAGAACTCTTCGAAGGCATCGGCTCAGAGGCCAGTTCGCCAAGGGGGAAGTCATGGGAAGCCCTAAGGAGACCCCTGGGAACCCATGGAGAAACCGTAGGTTTTTTGTTGGGAAAAAAGGTCAAACAATGTCAAAGATACCAATGAACCAAGAGGATTTCATGAGATTTTCCGATAGGATGAAGCAATCAAATGATGGGAGATATAGAAGCCAGTGATATATAATCAATGATTTATAGCCAACGGTTTGTCTGGAAATGGTGTATGCCCCAAAATGGCACTTGAAAAAAGGGACAATTAGGTGTTAAACGATGGGATTTGGGGTACAGAAAATTCAGACAAACCCATGTGTGTTTTTCCGTAGGGAATTCAGCAACCAGTAACCAGATATCCAGTAAGATACATCTCCAATACATGGATTTTACCATGGATTTTGTCTGAAAATGAAGGATGCCCCAAAATCCAATGGTGTATGGGTGCATAATAATGTTCCCTAATTAGTAACTTAATTAGCCATTTTTGATGGGAACACACATATATATATATACACCATCTAATGCATGTTATTTTTTTCCCTGAAGATTTCAGATATTTCAGCATCGATGTGAATGGGGTTTGAAAATGCGGGATTTAACCAATTAAGCCCCAGTCATGGAGGTCCTCCAGAATGAACAAACTATGATCTGGCTGAATCATAATGGTAAACCGAACTAAATAAACCATCCCATAGACTCATAGACGAACCACTGGCTAAATTTTACATCGTCTCAAATAGGGCTAGACCCAATTCAATGATGAATCAACATGTAGAATGTAGAATTTAGCCAGTGTTGAGTCCCATTCCCCTATTCCCATCCATTCCCTACTAAGCACCAGTAAGACTTTAGGTAGTTGTATTCAACACAGATTTCTAAGCATCCGAACGGCCATGTACCTGTTGGAAGAACCATCATCCCAACTGACGAAGTCATATTTTTCAGAGGGGTAGGTATACCACCAACCAGATATCTATGATTGGTTCAATACCACCCGTTTTTTTTTTCAGTTTGGAAGATGATTTGGTTTGGAAATGACAATCTTTGGGTTGCCATCTTTGAGTTTTTGGGGACCCGGTGCGCAAGAAGTAGTGGAGATACCTTTGGGAAGGGCCCCATTATGCCTGGTTGGTGTTTTCAAGCCCTGTTTCCGATAACTATTCAAATGGTATGATCATGTATGATCCATATTGATCGCTTTGAACACCCTCCAGTAAATGATATAGTTCATGGAAAAATCCACCATTGATCAGTTTCATGTGGATTCCCCATGTTTTTTTTCCTTGTTATGTTTGAGATCTGCTATACAACGCCACGCAGGACCTACGGCAAAAGGTGAAGCAGGTGAATCTGGAGCTGCAAGCGATGGTGGAAGCGAATCGTCTCAGCAGTTCCTTGGGTCCATCCCCAAATGGCGGAACTTTTTCAGGTCGAGGTTGGTGAAGACACAGAGTAATCACATCACCATTATTGGGGAATATTCAACCAGAGTCTAAGGAAACTAATAGTCATAATGGATTTGGTTATAAAGTCTAATAGTTGATGAATTGTAATTCAGCCAGACTAATAATTACATCAATGGCCATATGATCGGAGTTATCTTCCAGTTAGTGAAGTATTACAATTCAGCCAGATGGTATCATTCCACAGATGAGCAGTCTGGTAAAGCCCGGGTTGGTTTGATGTTTAGTTGGGGGATCATACAAACCAATTGACTGGCGATTGTCACAATTTTCATTGGGGGAATCCCCAGCAACCAACCAGGTCTGTGACATGTGCAGATGTTGTTCCAACGATTCCAACAGCAGATTCATGCGTGATTTTTCCATCTGCTCCATCTAGCCATCTTACTGTAAGTGGCATACAATAGATATCATTAGATATCAATAGAATATGTAATATGTACATGTGTGACTATGACTATGACTGACTATGGATCTATGCCAAAAAGCACAGCACTTTTCGCGCAGTCAGGTGCTGAAAAGAGCGACTGCCTCGCACTTTGGCCCAAAGATCCGGTGAATCATCGAAAGGAGGATGGAATTACCCTCTAGTAATTTAACATAGCTATTGAAAATGGCCATTTATAGTTGATTTACCCATTAAAAATGGTGATTTTCCACAGTTATGTTAGTTTACCAGAGGGTAGAAGGAATGGCATTTGACCAACCCAAAGTGCGGATAGAACTAACATGAACTAACAAAGATGTGAATTGCTCGGTGAAATCCTTACTTGTCAAAGTCAATGGTTGTATCAACCACACATAGGTGTCATATGGTGTAATATCCTCTGGTAGACTATAGCTATTGAAGCCATGGCCCAGAAATAGTTCAAGTTGATTTAGCCAATTTTGAATGGTGATTTTCCATAGTTAATGGTGATTTTCCATAGTCCTCCATAGTAAACTCTAACAGTTTACCAGAGGCTATCGTGAAAAAAAGCTCAGGAAGAGTTGGAGTCGAAAATGGCTCAAGTGCAAGAGGAGATCGCCAAGGCCGAGGTGTGCCACTTGGGCCACTGGTTTTTCGTCTCTTTTTTCAAAAATCTTGTTTGAGGACATGTTTCAGATCTTGTTGGGGGGTCTTGAGTTGTTTTGGGTGATTTCTATTCCTACGGCTCCACGCAGCTTCCGAGACTTGGGGCAGCTTTGGGGGTTTAAACACCCTGAGGAAACCGACCGGGAAGCTGCAAGATGTGTAGCAATTCTCAACAGGAAGAGGAAGGAAGCCTATCACATCTCACATCAATTTCAGTGTAGATTTCACTGAAGATGTGTGCTTGCTTGGGCACTGGTTCACAAGTGAAGCAATCCATGCGGTAGAACCACAATGGCCAGGTCATCGGTTGTAGGGTCTTATGTATACCCTATGGTTTTGACTAACATAGCCATGGTATAGATGGTCCATAGAAATAGATGGTTTACCTATTAAAAATGGTGATTTTCCATGGCAAACTGTTAGTCATAACCATGGCTATGTTAAATAACCAGATGGTAAGAGTTCTATGACGGTGCGGAATCCAAGGCAACTCGTGTTGACATATTAAACAACACGTTTTTCGTGGGTGCAAGGCTGAAGGAAAGGCCAAGAAAGTACAGGAGGGGATTGCGGAGAGGGGCTGTGAAACGTTCTGAATGTGGATGTATGTGGTCTGGTTGGTGGTAGTCTCTGGTAAACTAACATAACTATGGAAAGATCCACCATTTTGAATGGGTAAATCAACTATTTCTGCCATTTTCAATAGCTTTTTGTATGTTTACCAGAGGGTAAAGCCAGGAAGAAACCCCAGTGACCAACCATGGTTTGGGGATCTGTAATGATCTCACCATATCTCACCACACCCCCTCAATTGGGGAAGTTTATCGTTTATTGGCATTGGGTATACCGTGTTAGTGTGATATGCTATCCGGTGGTTAGGAGGGGGCTAAGGAGCTCTGGGTATTCATATTTCTTAGTAGATGGGGAGCTGAACGATCTGAACGAGTTTCTCAATTGCATGATAGTATGATGCAACCTCAACCTTCGAAAGTATGGTGTAGATGTGATGATATAATTATATATAGTAATTATATATATTATATAATTATAAATATACATAATCATGCCATTAAATGAAACATTACGATCATATAAGATATAATAACCAAAAAAAAACACTGTAGCGAAAATCCCTTCCCCCTATATACTAAACAGCCCGCGGAAACCATTGTTGAGTCGGGAATTTACAGATATTTGGCACCACAAAAAATGGGAGTCTTTAAAAAAAACCGGGGGATAGGATTGTCCCTATAAGATCCTATAAATAGTGGATGTTCCCATGATTTTCCCCATGTTTTTCCCGTTTCAATGGCAGTTTTCCCATGTTTTTCCCGTTGCAATGGCCAGCCATAGGCCCTGGCGAAGCCGTTGGAAGTGTTAAAAAGTACCCACCTGCAGGTGAAGGCGGCAGATCCAGTGGCCTGCTCCAAGGAATCGGTTCCGTCATGGCTGATATGATATGATATGGTAGATGTAATGGTGATATAAGCCATCCCCATATCGTATATATATAATTATATATATATGTATATCATGGTGATATAATGATTTTCTCAATTATAATTAAGCCCCATATCATGTTGATATAATGATTATGGTGATATTATATCACCATTATATCACCATTATATCACCATGATATCATAGCACCATGATCATTATCACCATGATATGGGTCAATGGTTGTAAGCCACCCCCATATCATATCTGGTTGGTGGTTTGGAACATGGCTTTTATGACTGTCCATATATTGAGAATGTCATCATCCCAACTGACTTTCATATTTTTCAGAGGGGTTGAAACCACCAACCAGATATATATATATATACATACATATATATATATATCATGGTGATATAAGGATTATAATGGTGATAGATTGGTGATGTAATGGTTATAGAATGGGACTGGTGATAGAATGGGGATGTAATGAACATATAGAGGCGATGGTATCATGGGGTATAATTATCACGCATGAAAACATGTGAAAACTGGTGAACCAATGAATATAATTTAATGGTTTAATGTAGAATATCATGGGAATATAGTGGTGGTACGATGAGGACGTAATCATGGTGATATCGTGGTGATACGATGGGATAAACGGAATATCATGGATTATCGTGAAATGCATGAGATACAATAATGCAGAACTGATTGCACCCTCGGGTAATTTAATCGTAGAAAATCACCTTTTTGACTGGTAAATCATTTGTAAATGGCCATCATATTCCATAGTGTTTTTTTTTAAATGCCAGACGGACCCTAATTGGGCCATTTTTGTCGGCCGAACATCTGGGGATTTGACAGTGGTGGGATTGTGTTGTTTTGCAAGACATTGGGAGTTACATGTGATTTAAGCAGCATGAAATAAGAGGACCTAGATAAAGTGAAGGAGGATTCATAGAGTCTATTGGCTATTTTTTACGATAAATTGGTTCTCGGGATAGTATAAATTGATATAAATTGGAGATAAACGATCAAAACATGATTCAATGATAAGACCATTTAGGTAGGAAACAAATTGTCTTCCTCATCAACAGGGCTATTCTTGCCGGATTGGTGATCTGAAAATGGAGGATGAACCCCGGAGATTATGCCCTTTTTTGGGTGGGAAGTTATCATTACCCATTGGATTTAGGGCTTATTTTCAGACAGACATATTCGTTTCTCTTGTTTGAGTGGTTTGTCACTACTTGTAGGACTGAAAAAGACTCGCATGATGGACTGTGATTCTTGTTGCAGGATATTCAATCTCCACAAGCCATGTGTTTTCAAGTTGTTTCATGTCGCACCAAAGATATTTAGCCGTATATTTGTTGGTCAAATGTCCATGGATCTCCTCCGAGGTCAGCCTGCCTCCGCTGAAGAATGGGGACAAGATCCGACAACTTCGACAAAAGTTAGGGGAACTGGAGAGGTTGGAGAAGGCGCGCACTTCGCAGTGTTGGGGTGGTGTGGTATGAAACAATCCATGGTTGATTCTGGTTGAAATCTATTGATTGATTCGTTGGGACTTCTACTAGCTAATTTATTGAAGATTACCCTACCAATTGTTTTTTGGGGATTATGAACTCACCCATAGTAGGGGTATGTTTTTCATGACTACTTGGTTTTGATGACCATCATTTTTTGGACTCTCTGATTTTTGTCTGGTGATTATGGAGATCACCCAAACGGGATCCGGAAGATCCCGCAAACGGGTGTTCGTTTTAGGACCATTCCCAATTTGACTGAAGTTCTATTGAAAATGGCCATTTATAATGAGTTTTCCCATCAAAAATTGTGATTTTCCATAGTTATAGGTAAGTTCTACTCTGGTGAGCTTTGAGTTTTGGAATCAGACCCAACTTGGAGTTTTTTAGCTGTTTGGTTGGTGAAGCCTGCCATGGTTGCTCACTGTCAAGCTTCAGACATGAATACGTTCCTATGAATTTGGGATTGGATCTAGGTAGGGACCTGATGCCCACTATCAGTCACTATCATCACTCATCACACTATCAGTATAATCACTAGTATCATCACTACTCTCATCATCAGTTGGGTGGCTCTAGAAGGTGCTTATCGGGCGCTCGAAAAAAGCCTGATTATTTCTGGCTGTTCAAGACATCAGTAAATTCAATCATGTTTCTCCATGACCTTCCAATGATAAGGCCTTATTGAGGGGTTATCATCACGGTGAAGCAACAAATCGCTGCGTGTATTGGACCCTTTGGACCCTTACCCTGCTGCCCCTGATGCTGCTGAAAGGCTACCAAGACAAAAGGCTGTTGGGCAGGGGATTCAGCAGGGCTCGGACTTTGGTCATCAATAGCTTAATCCAAAGGTGTGGTAGGGCACCAGCAAAATGCCCAAACATAGTGTGCTGATACAGAAATAAAACCACCATTTTCGTTTTTTTTTTTGTGTTGAAACATGTTGAAACCATGCATTGCGCAGGACACGGCTTTTTCCGTGCGCAGGACACGCATCCATTGATGAGCTGAAGAGGCGCTTTTGGGATGATGATCTTCACTGACGAATATGCTTTGAAAGGGCTTGGTTTCCAATCACTTGAAGTCATATATATTATAATATATATATATATACAAATGTTATCATATATAGATAATGTTATCATATATTTATAATTATATATATATGTAATGTTAATAATTAGTATATCAATTACTCACCTTTCTTAGATGATTACGCACTTGAAGTTCCCCTTGAAATCATCGCAGCCGCTCCGAGGCTCGGCGAGCGCCCCGAGTTGGAAGAAGCGGCGCTGGAGTTGGAACGTCGTGCCCGTGGCTGGCTGGAAAGCGACGAGGCGCGCTTTCCAGCGCGACATCCCCAAGGAGGGACAAACTCTGCTGTTGGTTTCAGGAAATCACCATAAATGGGTGCTGTTTGAAGCATTATCATATTGCTTTACCAACATTGAGTTTATTCCAAAACTAGAGATTGGATGATTTTTGGGAGAAAAGAAGAAAAGATGGAGCATAGCCCAAGATATCCCAACGGAATAAATACGTCACAGGGGTTGAGTTAGAAGGACAAGCTTAGCTTCGAGCAATCATGAGGGAAAGGACTGAAATATATCCGAAGAATCATCGGTCATAGTGCGTAGTGCGTGGTAAACAAATACCATTATTTACCTATAGATTTACTACCAAAACCACCCCAAATGATCCAAAATGAAGGTAAGCAGACCATATCCGAGAACCTCTCTGGTTCAAAAATTCCATCAATAGAATCATTTGGATTCATTTCATCAATGGAAATTTCAGGAACCGATTGATTGGAGGTACCTACCATATATATCCATATATGGTGGGCCTATATAATTCCCATCTGGTTGGTGGTTTGGAACATTTTTTATTTTTCCATATATTGGGAATGTCATCATCCCAACTGACTTTCATATTTTTCAGATGGGTAGGTCAACCACCAACCAGCCATTGATTTGGAGAGAGCTGCAATTTTCAGAGCCATGTGTTGAGCCAGGTCTTTGAACAGCGACTGGAAGCGTCTCGCCGTCTCGCCTGGGCTCATGTTCAGAGGGGATTGGTATGGACTGTTTCCGACGGATTCGAGATGTAAACCGCAACTCTGATGTTATTATCCCATAGGATCCATGTATGGTATATATGCTAACATTGGGGGTATATTGATGGTAAATGTTACCATATATATATATATAGCATACATGGATCCTATGGGTATATGATTTATTTTATCATTGTTTTATTTGTATCTATTGTTTGCTTAGTTTAGTATTGAAGCCTCCAAAAAAGGAAAGGCCAACCCCAGATTCCAAAATCGTGGTTGATTAGGCTGGGTTACCTGTTACCCCCACAAAAATATCATTCGATACCAAGATGGTATTCCCCAATTTCAACAGCCCTGGTATTAACCTTCATCCGCAAGTTGACATTACAATGTTGTGCCTGACAAGATACCATTACGGCTTCATAAACCCGCAAGAATTGAGGGACCCTCTTCTTCTTTCAACCAACATGGTGTTATTTGAAACTGGTGTACGCTCCGAAAATTTGAACATGGAACCCATAGGTCAGGAGTCCAGGCCCCCCAAAAAAAACAAAATCCATGTGCGATGACTGGAGGGTGTAGCATGCTGTCCAGGCAAATCTGCGCGTCGGCAGAGCAGCGCCAGGAAACCCCAGATAAATTGCGCAGTTCATCGAATCATGAAACGGGATATTAGACATGAGTTAGCAAGTCACAAAGTCACTTACCCTCTGGTAATTTGTTACATAGCTATTGAAAATGGCCATAGAAATAGTGGATTTTCCCATTAAAAATGGTGATTTTCCATAGCTATGTTAGTTTACCAGAGGGTAAGATGTTTTTTGTTCATCCTTCTGGGTAAATTATAACGACCTTACTGCGACCTCACTTTTGATCATAGTAAGGGGAATCATCCCAAAATGGCCCAACAATTCAGGTTAGTGAAATCACTGATAATTTACTATTCTTACTATATTTAGTAACAATATTATACTAATATTATAATCACTGAATTCAGGTTAGTAAAATAATCACAATATTATAATTTACCCAGATCCTTTTCTCTGCTTTTCTTGTGATTCACTGAATAGTTGTCCCTTGGGATATCGAATCGCTTGTCGCTTGTCAGCCTGGAGTGCATCAGGGTCGACATGGAGATTTCATCAGCGGCGGGGATACGATGTAACCATCAGCCAACATCTGCCAACTCTATATATAATTGTATACACATATATCTATATGTATATATATATACTTATATCTATGTATATATATAATTTTGTCATTCTCTGATATTCTATTATTTTTTTCATTTTATCATGGATCCTCCCAGCCATAGATTTCTTTTTGCACCATGGCCATGTCTCAAGCCACAAGGCCGCGTGGTGCTGGTGGTTACAACGTTGTGAGTGGAGGTGCAAAACCGGCCACAGCCAAAGCGAAATCGACGGGGACGCGCAATGCGTTTGGGGCCTTGGGGTGACAGCGGAAACCGTGTTTTTGTTTTTCCATTCGAAATGGGATATCAAGATTTAACAACTGAAGATGGTTATAACATGTTATAACATGTTGTCAATATAATGGATTATTAAATGAACGAAAAACCCAACGGATTGTAGTTATTAGTCCCAATACTCGGGGTTTCCATGAATGGAGGTACCCAAAAATGGATGGTTTATAATAATGGAACATCATACTATTAAAATTAAAATGGATGATTTCGGGGTAGCCCTATTTTAGGAAACCTCTAAGTGGAATGTTTACCAGTACTAATTGGTAGTTTGAAATGAAGCTGGTCTTCAACCATCAAACACTGGATCTTAACATAGCTTAACCATTCAAAATGGCGTCACCATTAAAATTGAAAATTGTGCCTTTGAGCAGAGTCTCTCGCAGGATCAGTAGAGAGGTTCAAGAGGCTTAATATGGCTTAGTACTGAGATAATTTTCAATGGGTCAAAACTATAGGACTCTATAGGTGTGACATATAGGTGTGACACGTGTAGCATAATGAACCTTTTTTAATGGGATGGTAACTACACACGCAAATGGTGGCAACAAGGATAAGGACAACCAGCACTTGTAGCTCCCAGGAATTCCATCTTTGGCGTATCGCTTTACCCCAGCTTCGCGCTCGGGCCGATTACGGCGATGTACAGCTGCGTTGGATAGCCCAAGGAAGAAAAGGTGCCAGCTGCCTCACGAATATTCAATACCCCCCAGAAACCATAGGGCCGTAGGGGATTCGGATTCACACATATTGAGACCATACAAAAGGGGTGTTTAAACCGTGGATGGGATTGAAAAAACGATCACCCAGCCCCTGAAAAAGTCCCCGTGTGCAGGTCGCAGATCGATTTGAAAAACGGGCGTTCGGGCGGGGGAATGCGCGTTGCGCCTCTTACGAAGGGGGTCACTGGGGTCACTTCAGGGACTGGAATTATCATGGAATTATCATGGATGAATGAGAACCAGGGTTTTTTCCATACTTTTTGGGAAATAGCCTGGACCGGGTCCAAGATTTACTTTGTTCCAGTGAACCAATGCAGAGATCTGTTTGATGAAGGTACTAACTTTGGTGCGAACCCGGTGGAGGGAGTGAGTTTACTGGTGATGATGAGTGGGTTATAACATATATACCGTATTGTATACCCAGTCTTGGGCCGATTTCTATACACGCTGAAAGGCCATTGCTGGATTTTTGACTCTTAGTTATTTTCAATCATGTTACTGTTTTAATGGATATACATGTGTAATATCTTATGTTTGGTGTATGCTCACATACAATACACAAACATATTTTGAACATACAGCAAACATGAGAGAACATCAGTAGTGATACCTCCAGTTTTTGATCATCAACTACAGGTGATCTTCTTTTATTGATGAAGTTGTTGATCACCTGTAATCTACCGTTGCGATTCCGGTGACTTGCTGGTCACCTGAAATCACATCCCCCCCCTAGACTAGTCACTCGACCTCCAACTTGGCTCAGAAATCGGCTGAAACTGACAGCAGATATCCCATGGAACCATGGCCGTGTCCAAACTTCCCACTGGTTTATCGGAATCACCAGGATCAAACAATGGGTAAATCATGGTAAATCATGAAAGGTGAGAATTCAATACGATGGTTAAAACATGTTTTAAAAAAATATCGCATTTTCCAAGCGGCGCAATGGCCATGGCAACGAACAGACCAAACCCATTTTTTGCTTCGATCTTTTCGAACTGGCCCACAGGCCCAAAGCTACTTCTACCCATTGATTGTTGAAGTTGGGGTATAACTCCCATGAACTTTCGCCATGAGCGAAGCATGCGAAGCCGCCGACGCTGCCAAAGTGCTTTGGCTAACTCGATGGCCTGAAAGAGTTTTCGCGGATATCAACGACCTGTGTACTTAGCAAATAGCAACTCCTTTTTCAAATGGGGTCTTGCGAATCTATGATGGTGATTTTGTGGTTGAAGTTCACAACCAATGTGGACAATTTAATGTCAAGAATAGCAGTGGAAACCATGGCAGTGAGCTACGAGTACCAGCTGGTAGGCTATGGAACAGGAAGAATTCCTGGAATTTAGAAGTCAAAACTTGGAAAAACTTTCAATTTGAAAAAACCAAGTATGCTTTCCTGCTTTTCCTAGAGTCCAAGTCCTTCATTCCTGTTTACTGCCGTTCCCCACTCGCTGAAAGATAGTTCATTTAGATGTTGGTTTCAGTTTGAGGAACACCTTCCAGGACCCACAGGACCAACAGGAAATCGATTTCAGAGCTGACAGATCTCCGCAATCCACCCATCTTCATTCTTCATTTGAAATTGCAAGGTTTCAAACGGGCAAGTCAAAAGCACTAACTTTGCCATCCTCAGCCACGGAAATTGGGCAGACATTGGGCAAAAAGCTGCCCCAACCACCATTTCCGTGTTTCTTCTAGGATGTGGCGATGGAAACGCTGGACGACGATGAAAAGACAGATGAAGACGAAGTGTTGCACGAGCCCTGATTTGACATGATGTTACATGCCGCGATGGGGATGGTTACCCTCTGGTAAACGTTTACAAAAAACTATGGAAAGATCCACCATTTTTAATGGGTAAATCCACTATAAATGGCCATTTGCAATAGCTTTGATAGCTTTGTGTATGTTTACCAGAGGGTACATAACTAGAGTCTAGAGCATCTATAACAAGCCATGGGTGGGAATCCCTGAGCCAGTCACCAAGCGCATAGGATTGGGGATTTAAGCGGCCAAAAAACGATGGTCAAGCAAGAATTGAGAGACAACCTGACAAGTTGTAACATAATAGATATGTGCCCATCAAAAGTAACAAAAGTTGGGATTTGTTTGAAAACACGGGATAAATATGGATAAATACATACACATAAGGGTTGATTGGATTGGTTGATAAGGCCAACAAGAGTGGACTGAACCAGCAGAACATCACCATGAATGTCCATGTTCATAGCCAGCAGTTAGGACAAAGCACTGGCACTTGCTGCCGGCTGGTTTTTCCCGGGAACCCCATGAGGAATGTGATGTCTACTTGAATCGCATGTACGATCCTCCCGATTTCGTGGGCGACATGCAACTTGGAGCCGGCGGCCCATCGACTCCCTGCTGATATGACCCATCTGGTTATGACATTCACAGTTTGCCATGGAAAGATCCACCCATTTTTAAGAACGGTAAACCATCTATAAATAGACCATCTATACCATGGCTATGTTAAATAACCAGAGGGTAATATGTATATATATATAATATATGTATATACATATAAAACCAGAGGACCACGGTGATCCGCTTTTCTTCGTAGTCAATTTGCACTTTAAGTGCCAATCATCGACAATCAAGTGCCAATCATCCCAATCATCAGTGCCAATCATCCCAGTTGAAAGCACTATTTCGATCTATTTCAGATGGGTTTTTCACTGGTTTCGCTTTGGTCATTGGATTGATTGAAGGGACTTTTTTTACAGGAAAGCATATAGATTTTCCCATAGATTTTCCCATTAAACAAGAGGGTTTCCTGTAAAATGTTCCTTAAACCAATCCAGGATGATTTGTGAATTTTCTCCGCCCAGGGCATCCAGGGACCCAGGTACCTGCTGCAGTATCCCCTGCGGCCCAGCTATCGACCCTATGGAGATCAAGGCTACCTGGATCGGGTGGAATTGAAACCCAAGTCCCGAAGGCTGCGCTTCGTGTCACGTGGCCCAAATTGCCAAAACGGGCGTTGGGGAGGTGTTGGAGCTGGTGATTGGAAGATTGGATGGAAGTCTAAGGTTTATATCCCAAGACATGATGTGAAATTCCGCGACTTGTGTTTTTCTCAAACCTGGTTTTCAAGACAATTTCTAGATATTTAACAGAAACATGATATAATCATATATCTAGTTCCAATAGAAAATGATAAGTCACCTAATTTCAGGATTGATGGGTTGGTTCTCCGTTTAGGAAGATGTTCCGGAAGATGCTGGGATTTTATTGGGATTTTGCGGAGTTCTGTTGGATTAAGCACACCTTGAGGAAACAAAGGGTTGCGGACACCATTGGAAGCCGGGCAGCGAGGTACAAATTGAATCAGAATGAACACTACGCGGAGGAGGATGTCCACGATGAGAAGTACGAGCAGCGGCATACTTTGACTCTGGGCGTTGGTTAAAAGTCGGGAATACGGGGACAAACCTATGTATGTCTATCACATCCTCATTGTTGAACGGATTAATTTCTCCCCATTCTTGTTGATCAACCACCTTTTTTGTTGGTCAATCATCATGTCTCCCGGGAAAATCCTTTCCCTAATATTAAGCACCCCTCATAAACCATAATTAGTCTAGTAGGGGATTGACACATATTTGGGACCATTTTGGATGGCGGTGTTTAATATTAGGGGGAAGGGACTACATATTAACCATGATCAACATTTATTAACATTTATTAACATATATTAACCATTATTAACCATTATTAACCATTATTAACCATTACTAACCATTATTAACCATTATTAACCATTATTAACCATATTGAGTTCGTATGAATCCCTATCCATCCGTATAAAAATCCCCATCAATCCATATGGGCTACCACCTTTTAAAGGTCTATGTACAGTATACGGGATATGTATTGGAATGGAATATAGGCTAATATAGGTCAAAACCTGCAAAAACGAAGGCGTCGCTATCTAACGTTGCGGCAAACCTTACAACTAAAGTTTGTTGTTATATTTTCATTTGAGCAGCGAACGTCAAGAATGGTGTATCATGGAGTTATTGTTTGGTCTTTACCTGTTTTTCCCTTGTTTTCCTTTTGTTTCCTTTCCTGTGACGGGTTTCTGTTGGTTTCGTTTCCGCCTTCGTTTCTTTCCTACTGCCACTAGCTCGAAATGATTGACTGAACGGAGTAAAAATAGATATTCCATGTTGGGGCAATAGAGTTTTGAAGGTAGCTCATATTAGTCCCTATTAGATAATTACTAGATACTATTAATCCCTATATTAGATGCTATCAATCTCTATGAATCCGTATGAATGTCTTAATATTATCATAGAATCATGGGGATTCCCTAGAATTATACCATATTAAGCAGAAGTATCCCATTCTATGCAGTACCATGCGACTGAATCCCATTATATAAATCACCTTCAAAATCCCATATGAATCCCACATGAATCCCACATGAATCCCCATAAATTCCAATGTATATCACAAAATATTCATCCCTATGGCAATCCCACCATGGCACTCCACATCACTATGAATCCCTATCAAATCCCACCATACCATACCATACCATACCTATTGTGGATGGTTGCGAAATCCTGCACCAGGTGGTACAGTAACTATTGGGACCTATTAGGTAACTATGAAACACTGCAAATCATGGATTTTTTTTTTTTGGATGTATAAATTCCATCTATCAAGTGCTGCAGGATTTCACAACCAACACCGAGCCGTCCGGCTGTGATTAGGCTATGATCATAGGGATTCCCTATAGAATTCTCCCAGCATCCCCTCTGGTAAACATACAAAAAGCTATTGAACATGGCCATTTATAGTTAATTTACCCGTTAAAAATCGTTATTTTCACATTTTTAGTAGGTAAATCAACTACACGTGTGCCATTTTCCATAGTAAACGGTTGGTTTACCAGAGGGTAATCCCCATCCCACCAGGAGCTCCACAGTGGTGGCCAATCCCGCGTGCAGCTACGCCATCGGCGTAATCCGCCAAGGGCGCTTGACCTTGACGCCCGTGCGGGCGGTGAACCAGCGACTCTGTCGAAGGGCCATGAAAAAAGGCTGGGGGATGGGCATCTGACCATGAAACACCATGAATCTGGAATGTCTTCCATGACAATATACTCCACATATATCCTGATGATGTGGAATTCCATACATTTATAATTTATATTGATTATATAAATTATAATATATATATAGGCATCCACTATATATATCTGGGTGAATTATGACGACCTCACGTCGCGACCGAACCCTGGAATGATGGTTAGTACATGTTAGTACTCTAAGGGGAAGTATCTGAATATAGCCTATCTCATGTTAGTGAATTATTTTAATTTACGTAGATGAATCACATTCCACGTACTATTGCATGAGCAAATGTGATATGTTACTATTATTTATATATATATATATACATACGTATATATGTTGATGTTTATTTTGAGTATATAGCATCATTATGTTCTTCTTTTCCAACATGATCATGACTCATGTATTAATACAGATATTATACACATGTTCTGTTGCCTCTCAGAATAACCAACTCAGATGGACGAGATCAGGAACGTACCAGATCTCGTTGTGGTATGTGTGATATGTGTGATGTAATATTTGGCAAAAAGGTAGAATTACTGACTGTACATGTCAGTACTTGACATCTATATTCGAGTTCCCTGTAGAGAAAGAAAAGGAGGATCCTACCCCTCGTTCGGTGCCCTCAGATCTTCCAAGAAATGGTTCAAATCCGCTTTCCAGGAAGTGGAATGGCCATAACTGGAGAATATAGCCCATTTTTAGACACATATCATTTGGCAATGTACAATCCTCCAGGTATAAATGGAGGTTTCCATAGGTTTTCCTAAGTCATGGGGGGTAGCCAAATTTAATATCATTTATAGATGGATTTTCCATGAAATAAACCAGCTATTGGGGATCCCCCACTACGGAGCCGCCCCAAACCAGGGCCAATTGGACCAAGGTTGCGTCCTGACTTTGAAGATTTCGAGAAGTTGTGCAAGCAGAAACTTGGCAAAGCTGCAATCCTGAAGGGTCACTGTATATAAATATAATATTATACACATAATAAATAGTTGTATACATGAGTTTTTGATATTTCCCCAAACAGTGTGGCCACACTGAGGGGTTCTTATGGTAACAGTTAAGGCCCGGTGTTCAATCGAGGTGGTATCATCCGTGTCCGGCCAATTCCCTGTAAATTTCCATACATAGTGGCTCTTGTGACATGTCCATGTGCATTTCCACTGCGCAGGCTCGCACAAAACGATGGCCGTGGGCGACACATGCGGCATCCCTGTAAATTTCCACACATGTTCATGTGCATTTCGACTGCGCAGGCTCGCACAAAACGATGTCCCCGGAGGTGTCCGCGGCCATTTTTCCTGTAAATTCCCATGCAAAATAGCTCTTGTGAAAAGTCCATGTGCATTTCAATTGTGCAGGCTCGCACAAAAACGGGTGTCGCGGGATTAGCTTCCGGCGCTTTTCAATTAAATTTCCACACAAAATGGCTCTTGTGAAATGTTCATGTGTATTTCGACTGCGCAGGCCCGCGCAAAACGAGACATCTCATACAGAATATTGCCAAAAGGACCTCCTGGAGGGAGCTTATACAGAGATCTTGCTAAGAGACCTCTTGTGGAGATCTTGTTAAGAGATCTTGCTATAAGAGACCCCTTACAGAGATCTTGCCAAGCGGTCTCTTACATACATCTTGCCAAGAAAGCTTTTATAGAGAGCTTGTACAGAGATCTCATAAAGAGATCTTGCCGAGATATCTCTTACAGATATCTTGTCCAGAGGTCTTGCCAAGAGACCTCTTTAAAGAGATCTGGGCAGAGAGAGCTCTTATAGAGATCTTGTACAGAGATCTTGCCAGGAGGCCTCTTATAGAGATCTTGTACAGAGACCTGGTGAAGAGAGCAGCGATCTTGCTCAGAGATCTTTTCTAGGGAGCTTGAACCAAGACCTTACTTTGAGGTCCCTGACAGAGATCTTGTGTGGAGATTTCTTATAGAGAGATCTCTTCAAGTGTCTTGCCAAGAGACCTCTTATAGAGATCTTGTACAGAGACATTGCATAGAGAGATGTTGCAGAGATCTTGCGAAGAGGTCTCTTACATAGATCTTGCCAAGAGAACTCTTCTAGAGAGATTGCACAGGAGATTTCATAAAGAAATCTTGTACAGAGACATTGCATAGAGATCTGTTGCAGAGATCTTGCCAAGCGGTCTCTTACATAACTCTTGCCTCGAGAGCTTTTATAGAGAGCTTGTACAGAGATCTCATAAAGAGATCTTGCCGAGATATCTCTTATAGATATCTTGTCCAGAGGTCTTGGCAAGAGACCTCTGGCCGGCGAGCTCGTGGTGGCTGGAGCGCACGCATTAAGCAGAACTCTGGCGGCTGCATTCGGTCAGCGCACCAAGCCCCTACCTGGAACGCTGTGCACGCCCGCTTGGCAGAAGCGTATGCTGCGGACACAACCTGACCCATGTCCGCGGCATCGCGACAAGCCAGCCACCGTTTGACCTTCTGCTGCCGCTGCCAGCAGCTGCCGCGGCATCGCGCACTGCCACTCACATTGATGCACCTCTTTGGGAATAAAAACTACGGCTGCATAGCTCCGTTCCGTGACCGCACCTGAAAAACCCACTGGATGCATGTTTCCTCTTCTGTTTCTCCCCCCTTAACTTTGCCCTGCATGTCCTTAAGCACACTGTTTGGGGTCTCTTGCCGGGATAATTTTTGTTACAGTTTATTTTTAATACAGGATGAGTCCAGGATGAGTCATTTTACACCATGATTTTCAGTGACAGTTACGGTTCATGATTGGGAGCCGACACAATGAGAATCAAGATTGGGGGGGTACCATAGTTTGCAGACCCTGGAGACATAGCATGGTTATTCATATAACACCAGCTGGCATTCATGTTTTGTTGGTATGTATAACATGTTGGTATTCATGGCTGGGGTTATGCCCCTGGTTCAACCAGCTGGATTATTGTACGATATTCCACGGGAGTACTGAACATTTGTGTTCCCTTTTCTGTCGCTATGAATGAGAATACATGCCGCTTTAAAAAGGATGCACCCTATCCAAGACTGGCAATGTGCGCACACAGCTGATAGTCATTGTGAAATCCTGCACCAGCTGGTAAACATCCCATTATAATGTATTATAATCCCATGATATATATATATATATTTGTATATATATATATTTTTGTATATATATATATATATTTAGGGTTTCATAGGAATCCCAATAGTCTCAGCTGCTGAGTCCCCATCCACATAGCTTTCTTAAAAGCCGCTCCGCCCAAGGATTGCCTCCACGCCCGGCTTGAGCGACGTTGGCGACGCCAAGGGCGACGAGAAAAAGGGCGACGCCAACTCGGAGAGTGGCGGGGAGGAGCCGTCGGAGATGATCGATTTCAACCCGGTGCCTTGATATCATGGATATTCATCGATATTCTACTAATGTGGGTAAAACAATGCCATAAACCATCCCCCAAATCACCATAAATAGTTGGTATAAACCATTCCATGGGTGGTTTATTATTGTTACTAATGGATACTAATGGTTCATTGATCTTCTACTAATGGTAAATGGGTAAATTCTTTAGTTGTTAATAATGGTTAGTAATGGTTAGTAATGGGTAATAATGGTTCATAATGAGCAATAGTGGTTAGTAATGGGCAATTGGGTAAAACAATGCCATAAACCATCCCCCAGTCATCACAATTTTTATAGGTGGTATAAACCATTTCTAAAATAGGGGTACCCCCAGTCATCATCCATTTTATTTGTGGATGTTCCATGAATTGATATTCTACCAATGGTAAATGGAATGAATGTAAATGAATGTAAACGAATTTACATGATATCATGATAAATTTTCAGACTTAGCGAAACTTAATAGATCTTAATAGCAAATATGTACGTTTACTCATAATTCTACTAGTACAGTAAGTGAATATGAATTTAATTTATATAATTACTTTACTCATCGAAGGAAGTTTGGAAGTCAAACTTCCGACAATATGGAGAGATGAAAAAGCAGTCAGCAGGGAGAAGAGTCAGAAGAGAAAAGATCAGAAGAAAGAAGATGCAGGTGCGCGAAAAGGTAGGAAAGTCGCGAAACACTGTATTTTTTCGTGGTTTTGTGGCTCCGGAGGGTTGAAAAGTAGGCTCGCTAAAGCGGCGGGTGCGGAGACATCTGGGGAGATGAGAGATGAAAAGTTGCACGCCGTTGTGGCGCGAAGCACATTTGGAAGTAAAATGTGTTAAAAACTGAGGGGTTCGGACCACTTTTGGAAGTTGAGATGTCGAAAAAGTGCACGCCGTTGTGGCGCGAAGCACATTTCAAGTCAAAATGTACAAAACACACCATTCTCGGACCACTTTTGGAAGTTGAGATGTCGAAAAAGTGCACGCCGTTGTGGCGCGAAGCACATTTCCAAGTCAGAATGTACAAAACACACCATTCTCGGACCACTTTTGGAAGTTGAGATGTCCAAAAAGTGCACGCCGTTGTGGCGCGAAGCACATTTCCAAGTCAAAATGTACAAAACACACCAGGTCCGGACCACTTTTGGAAGTTGAGATGTCGAAAAAGTGAACGCCGGCGCGAAGCACATTTCGAAGTCAAAATGTACAAAGCACACCATGTACGGACCACTTTTGGAGGTTCAGATGTCGTTTCGCGTGGCAGGCGCAAGGGATTGTGGACCTTGTCAAAAGTGAGCAAAGCGTGAGGGTTTTGTAGCATTTTCAACTACAACCACCACTACACCACACTACACTCCAATACATTACACTACACTACAACTACAACTACACCTTCACTACATTCTACTACACTCCACTACACTACACTACACTCAATTACACTCAATCACACTCAATTACACCACACTACACTACACTACACTCCACTACACTACACTACATTACACTACACTACATTACACTACACTACACTACATTACACCACACTACACTACCTTTCACTACACTACATTACACAACACTACACTCCACTACACTATATACACTTCACTACATTACACTACAACTACAACTGCACAACTGCACAACTGCACAACTACACTCCACTACACTCCACTACAGTCCACTACACTAAATTACATTACACTACACTCCACTCCACTACACTACATTACACTACACTACACTACACTACCTTCCACTACACTTCACTACATTACACTGCACTACACTCAACTACACTACAACTACAACTACAACTACACTCCACTACACTCCACTACACTCGACTACACTAAATTACCCTACACTACACTACATTACACTACACCACACTACACTACATTCCACTACACTTCACTACATTACACAACACTACCTTACACTGAATGACACTGCACCACAGATAGACAGGTAGACAGATAGATAAATAGATGGATAGATAGATAGGTAGATAGAAAGATGGATACATGGATGCATAGGTAGATAGATAGATAGATAGATGGATAGATAGATAGATACATAGATAGATAGATAGATCGATAGATAGATAGAAAGATAGGTAGATAGATAGATAGATCGATAGATACATAGGTAGATAGATAGGTAGGTAGGTAGGTAGGTAGATAGTCAGAGAAAGAGAGAGAAAGAGAGGAGACATCAACCACCTTTTGATCCATCAGCGGCTTCGCTCTGCCATCCGTGATTCACAACAACCAACCTTTCCTATAGGTTTCCTATTTTTGAAACTTCCGCCACCGCCTTGTGCGGTACTACTGGTAGTACAATAGTAGTATTCAACCTTTGTGCCAACTGCGAGCTCCAGATCTCAGTGGGCACTGTTGGACCTCAACCGCGAGTGCAAGATGACATAGAACGTCACATAGAATGTCAGATAGAGTGTCAGAAAAAATGTCAGATGAATGCGAGATAGAATGTCAGAATATATGTCATGGTGGGGATCACTCAAAGAAAGTATAATTTTGTTCGAGAATATGTGCCCATTATATACCCCACTTTATCCTCAATGTGGTTGATTTTTTCACGCATTTTTCTACTGTTTCTAGTGCCCATTGATATCAATCGTTTTTTTTTGGTTTGCTGAGTTTGCTTCTTTCCCATCTACAATACACTGCTGCGCGCTGAGGTGCGGGTGGAATACCACGCGAAGGGAGATGCTCGATCTTTTGGAAGGGACGTTGTGACAGTTTCAGCACCGGATTTGTTGCGGGTGTCAGCCCGAACATCCATGGGGAGTCAGGGGACTATGGGATTTTGACAGCCCAAACATTACTGCAACGAGAATGGTGAAAATATGATGGGAACAACCAACAAGGATGGCTCTTCAAAGCGAACACATTCCTTCAATAGTTTGAAAATGTCTGGTCATGTTTCGTCTAAACGAATATATGACCGGCTGAAACATTTTCCGTTTGAACATAATTTCGTTTTCCATTGTTATTGCTGGTGGGGTTTTCAAAGATGAGCAATGCGCACGGAATACATACAGATACTGGGAATGATGCAAGTGGTAGATTGTACATAGGATGGTGGTTTGGTGGTGTCAAGATGTTTAGATATGTGTTGTTTTTCCATTTTCATATGGTATGATGAACCCCGTGTGACGCAGGCTACAACACTGAAGCCACCAACGTCAGGCAATCATACAACCCACTGCAATTACATCCGGTTATGAGGATTTTTTTTTACACACCAGCTCCTAAGCAGTCACGTAATTCCATGGTCCATCAAAGTTGGTGATCCTTCTTCCCCGGGAGTCGGGAGTCAGGAAACACTTGCCTCATGTTATAATCATTTACCCTAAGGAAAACTAACATAGATGTGGGAACATCACCATTTTTAATAGGTACTACATCCATAATCATCCATAAATGGGCGTGTTTTCACATCTATGGCCAAGTGATTGGTGGTTACTGGTGCGTGACATAAGCCATGAACCCAGTGAGCTTTGGTGATATAACCCCCCAAAAAAATACAGTAACTAGGTAAACATGTCCAATCTATATCAATCAACATGTCCAATCTATATCAATCAACATGTCGAATTTATAAATAGTGTTAAATGTTCTAATATGTTGTAACTATCCAGTGGCTCTGAGGGAGTGATTCGGAGCGATTCGGGTATCATTCCCTGCTTTCTTGGGGGAGCAGGGTGAAGTCCAAGGAAACAAACAAAAGTCTCGAGGTTTCCTAAGTCATGGGGCTACCCCTAAAACATCCATTTTATTTTTGGTTTTTCCACAATAATCCCCGCAACTTTTGGGGTAACCCCCATGACTATGGAAATCTTAGGAGAAGGAAGTTATCGCTCAGCCCGATGTGGGAGACGTTTGGAAGAGGTCGTAGCGACGTCGGTGTTTGACGACGGCGACGTTTGATTCGGAATCCATTTGCGAAGTGATAACTGAGATATACACAGAATGTCACAGAATTGCAAAAAAATCCTGAATTGATACGGCTATATATTTACGGGGAGATGCTGGGATGTATACTGTAAAGTAGCTATCTAAAGGTCCGTTGATCTGCATAATATAGAGCAAGGGCTGACGAGGTACGAGGTGAATCTTTGCAATTTAAGCGAGGTGAATTAATTAAATTCAGAAAACGAGGTGGGCAGAAATTGCTTTCAAAGCATGTGCAACGAGTGAAAAAAAACTTTTCGGGCTCCAGATTTTTTTTGTTCCCATCAGAGTGAAAAAAATAGAAAATTAAGGGTGCATTCAGACCCCGTGAAAAAAACTTTCTGGAGCCCGAAAATTTTTTTAATCGTAATTTCAGTCAGTGCCCTGTGGTGGCATGCCCGGTTGTTCCAGGACTTCCGTATTTGTTCTACAGTGAAACCACTGTTTAAGAACCCACTGCATTAAGAACCTCAGGGGCTGGATTGCTGGATTCAACTCTGTCTACCAGCTAATTGAAATAAGAACCCTAGGGAACCCTGAAATTTTGGTCAATAGTTCTTATTCACCTTTCCCAGGTAGCGCGACTAGATTCTAAAATTGCTAAAGCTTGAGGTGTAGCGGGGTATCTTGGTGCTGCTGCTGCAGCTTCTCTTCTCTGGGGTCGAATTTGGGGGGAATCGAGCCCCTGCAAATCCGCTTGTAAAAGAGGCATCTCGGAAACAGGAAAAAACTTTTTAGGCCCTGAAAAGTTTTTTCAGCATCCCCAAGCCTCTGGAGCCCAGAGCGTTGCTGCAACGACGACAAAGATAATTCAAAAAAGTTCAACCCAAAAGGAGGCAGAGGACTAGTTCGAATGGCTTGCGGTCGAGAAAGAAATGGGACGAGGGCTGAAATCCGTTTTGAATGTAACGAGGCGAGGACTGAAGATTTAATCAGAGGGGAAAAGTAGATTTAAGACGAGGAAACCGTTTTGAATTTAAAGTAAATTTTGCAGATTGATTAGACGATGCTGGAAACAGTGATGGAAAACCAAGCAGTTGAATTGCTTAGCAGCGAGGCTCAGAGCCTCTGGTTTGGTGAGTTGTCCAATTTGGGGTCCCATATTTCGGAGCGGTTTATCATTCGGGCGAGCACTCTATGGGAAAAAAATATGGGGTTCCAATATGTTCCAATCCATCAGGGGAAAGCTTTTCAAACAACCAGAATTCATCACATGACATGGGTTCTTCAGACACTGTCGGAACAATCTCCATCGAGTGGTTGGTTGGCTCCAGATTTCCATGAATCTCGTGGTCCATAATTTTCATGGTTCATGATGGTACGTTTTGGGTGGGTACCCTCTGGTAAATTAGCAGTTTGCTATGGAAAGATCCACCATTTTTCATGGGTAAATCCACTATTTCTATGGCCATTTTCAATGGCTATGTTAGTTTACCAGAGGGTATATCGTCTCTGGAATCCACTTGTTGGTTAATGGCCCTGGTTGATAAGGGCTCTATTGCTTTGTGAGGCTGTTGATTGAAGGCAATTGGATGCAAATTACCAAAATTAGATGTTTGAAACATTTTGAGACTTCTGGCAGACTGGCAGAGGAAGAATCCTGGTTTTCAACAAAGTTCCCTCAGTAGCCTATTCCAGGATTTTCTGTTTACCCCAGTTACATTCAGTTTCTAACCGAGGCCGACCACGCATCCAGTTCGATGTCTAGGGATTCTTCTGGAGTCTGAGATTGGAATCAAAGTTAAGCATGGCTGGAAGAATAGTAGTGACGGTGGTCATGAGATGTTATGAGTGGTTGTTTCCAACTGTACCCTCTGGTAAACTAACAGCTAGCTATGGAAGATCACAATCTTTAATAGATAAATCAACTATTTCGATGGGTCTTTTTCTATATATAGCTATGTTAGTTTACCAGATGGAAAATCACTATTTTAATAGGTAAAAAAACTATAAATTGGGTCTAAAACAACTATAGCTTTTTGTATGTTTACCAGAGGGCAACCGATCTTTGACAGGTTGGATTTCTTCGATCAAACCTCTCCAGAAGCTTCGGATATTTACCTGCAACACATTGTCTTTGCTGCGAATGAAGCATCAGAAGCAGTGACTCGGCCAAAAGTTGGATTCTATTTATATATATATATAAATAAAGGAATTAATGAACAAATAAATCAATATATAAGATGTATATCTATATCTATATATATATAATAGACGGTCACATGGCCCATGGCTGATATTCCATTGCCATCTTTCTCTGCATGGTACATATGGTGCATGGCAGGTATTTCACATGCATTGGCACAGGGCCATCAACCAAGTTTGGAGACGATCCATTGCGCTTCTAAAATCGTTTCAGGTCATCCATGGATTGTTGGGTTACCCTCTGGTAAACTAACATAGCTATGGAAAATCAATGAACATCACCATTTTTAATGGGTATATAAATCCACTATTTCTATGGCCATGGCTTCAATAGCTTTTTCTATGTTTACCAGAGGGTATATTCCATTCATATCCCATTGAATCATATTGAATCACTATAAAATCCCATTGAACCATGATAAATCCCATTGAATACCATGAATTTCTAGCCATTTCATATCCCCTTTTTTCTCAGGTCCCGTCATCACGTCATCCATCCGTTTCCGTCATCTAAGGAGAAGCAGGGGTTGACATCTCAAGATCCCAAGTTGCAAGACTTGGATCTTGATGGCGCCTCAACGCTGTCTGTTTACGAACGCGGTGAACTGATCATGTTGGTTTAACCCCCCCGAAATCATCAATGGTAAAGAGCATCCTACCCATAGGTTTATGGCATTGGACCATCCAATGATAAATGATAAATGATAGGTTTATGGATCCCCAAATGATAGGTTTATATAGCTTTATGGCTTTGCGGCTTTACCACAGACATCCTTTTCAACAGGAACACATCAGAAAAAACCGGAGAGATGCTGCGCCAGCAAGTTCATGTGAGCCTCGCTCGAGTCATCCTACCTATAGTAGCCGGACTGATATCACTCAGATTTTTTTCAGGAACACCATGTAACGCGCAAAAAGATGCCACAGAAAATCCACAGAAGTTATTCCAGAATGTTTTAGATGATGTTTCCTACATAATATCCAGGTTTCGAACTTGTCTCTCTTGTGGGTTGCTGACTAGTGTTCTACCGTCAATTGGAGGACTACGAACAACATCTATGGTCAGTAAACATCACACTCCTCATAAAGTGCAATTCCTCGATCGTGATCGGAACATGGGCAAGTGGCCCGCATGCCTTGCCATGCCTTGCCACGATGATACTGTGTATGGACTGTATGGACAAGCCATCCTGCACCAGTTGGGATGCCTATTGGGATTCCCTTCTAGAAACAATGGGACTATTATTACCCATAGGATCCATGTATGGTATACTGTATATGCTAAGATAAAGGGGGTATATTGATGGGATCCATATGTTACCATATATAGCAGCACCATGGATCCGTCATGGGTAATGCGATGTTTACCATCTAGCAACAGGTGCAGGATTTCGCAGCCGTAGAACATGCGAAATGTTGCTCTCTGCCTCTGTGTAACGTGGGGGATCCCTCCAACTGGCGGACAAAAACCATGTGTGATGGTCAATTCCCTCCGTTGCTTGTTTTTGTTTAACTATATAATTCTGGGTAAATTATAACGACCTCACTGCGACCGAAACCTGGGAATGATGGTTAGTAAGGGAAATAATCCCAATATGGCCTTAATTCAGGTTAGTGAAATATTATAATTTACCCAGATAATTGTTTTTGGCTGGGAGATCAAATCCACATTTTGGAGAGTGAAACAATTACGAAACAATCATATACCCTCTGATTATTTAACATAGCCATGGTATAGATGGCCCATAGAAATAGATGGCTTACCAAAAAAAAAAAGGTGGATCTTTCCATGGCTATGTTAGTCATAACCAGATGGTAACTATATATCATCCCCATTTTGGTATATATCATCCCCATCATTTCCCCCGCACCGCAAGGTGATCACATCAGCTACGTCCGTGGGCTCTGTGGCCAGGCGGAGACCCGGAACAAGTTGCGGCTGCTGCGACAGAAGGCGCATCAAGCGCAGAACTCGGGGCTGCACCTGGGATTTTTGGTCGGAGGATTGGGAGCTGACTGGGACAAATTGGAGATACAATATATGACACAACTACTGATAGATATCTACTCATATATTAAGAACAATGAATATAGATATCTACTAACCATCCAAGACTGAAACTTTTCTGAGACTTTTTGAGTCGTTTTTTTTTTTTTAAACAAGGTACGGCCCTGCCGTCGAGATAGCTAAGTTGATGAACATAAGTCAAAATTGGGCACACTGGGTCTGTAAACCAACTTAGAACTCCCTATCTTGGAAGAATATCATAGGAAAATGGGATATAATTGATATAATGGTATAATCAACTTAATACTTAGAACAGAAATGGAGTTGGCATGCTTTTTGCTTGACCTTTTCATATTTGTTCTACAAAGGGTGATGGCTGAACATGGGGGTTCTTAGCAGGCCAAGCAGCGGATAATATGGTTATCTGCCAAATAATACTGGGGAGATGATGGGAGTTCAACAAACCAAGCCTGATATGGGGCCGGCTAGTCTACGGGATGATATACATTGATAGTGTTGCAAACAGTATGTTGGACTTACTCTCTGGCAATTTAACATAGCCATGGAAAACGGCCCATTTATAGATGTTGTTGAATGATTTACCTATCAAAAATGGTGATTCTCCATAGCTACGTTAAATAACCAGAGGGTATGTTCACCCCAAACGCTTGATAGTCTCTACTGTTCGTTAAACATTGCCTATTTTGTGAATCCGTTGGTGCCGCATTTTGCACGGCATGAATAGGAAGAATTCGGACATCAATGCTTGAGTTAGCAAGGTCAGGTTGAGTCTAATGTTGAATGATAGTATACTTAGATATACTTAGTGAGACTTGGAATCCATCGGGATTTCACTTTTTTTTTGGGTTGAACTTGAACCTCCAGTTTTCATGACTTTTGAGTATCAAACCCATCCCATTTTTTGGAGACCGGAGACCGGAGACAGCTGAGGTCGTCATATGTACTCAGCAAGATGCCAGCGGAGCGACAGGTGGCGGAGCGACAGTTTTGCATGGATGTGGCAACTGATACCTTTCAAATGGGAAAGCATATGGATAAGGGTCAAAATCGGCTATCTTAATTAAATTGGATTACCACTAAGCACGGACTAAAATCTGCGGTTCCTAAGGTTTTTAATTTTGAGCCATACCCATATATAAAGGAAAATGTAAAGGGAAACCCCATGGTCAACGGGAAAGCCAATGATTTCCTGGAGAATTTCCCTCATGTCATCCCAATGAATACAGGAGAATCAGCAGCGGAGGATTAGTTGGAGGATTTTTGATTGCCAGGTCTTATTGCCGATATTTGTCGATATTATGATACAGTAGCAACAAATTTGATGTACAAAAAGATGACGTGCGGAAGTTGGAACCAGATTTTGGATTAGTGCAATACATCTCAAAATTCATTATGCTTTCTCGAAGCTTCAATCGAAACCGCTACGAGAGTAAATCGAAGTTGCCTGTTGATTCCCTCCAGTTGCCGCTGAGTTTGCACAACTGGCTTGCTGGAAGATCCCTGAATGGCAATTCAGCGGGGGATACAATATACCCATATATACCCCATTTCCGTGCGAAGCCGGATTCGATTTTTTCTGTGGAAACTGGACGGGGGGTCAACGATTTGCTTCCGAGCTTGCGTGTGCATCCCAGTTAATAACTAACTGCATAATAATCAATTTGTTATGTGGTTTTATGACAAGTTGTATCTCGCATATTCTATAGGGTTGTTAACAGCAGTGGTTATGAACTCTGATATAGTGAGAAATGACAAGTCAGGTTTGGCAGTTCTCGGATGCAAAACCAAGTGTTGCTTGGGTCAGGTGGAATCCATTCTTCGCCACTATGGTGTGATCTCCTTCCCGAACTTGCGCAAGAGGTGCGCGCGAAATTTCAAGCGAATGGACTGAGGGAAATCTGATGATATGCTCCCCACCACAAAAAGTGCTTCACCAACACCCTCAAATAAACACGTGTAGATGTATGATAATTAATGTATATGTATACGTAATTATATTAGTATATATATATATATTTACATAAAAAGAGAGAGAGAGAGAGACATAGATATGAGAAAATCATTTTCCCATCAGATGAGTCGTTTTGTTTGGGGGTCCATGTTGAATTTCCAGGGTGCAGACTGACAGACTTGTGAAGTGTTGCGGTCATACTTGTAGGTTGAAACAATGCGAAACAACCATGTTGAACCAATCCTTTGGACATGTTGAACCGCTGCCACGCTAGCAAACAGCTGTTTTAGGCAACAATGCATTCAAAATATTCAAAGACCAGCCCCCATTCCAGATGTGAACATGTTGAAAGCACCCCTGTACCCTTGTCCACGCAACATATTGCCTGGGAGTCTTGTGGATGCCGGGATCTCTGCTCAGAGATGAAAGACGGTAAAAAACAGCGGGGATGTCATATTAGGGACCCCGCGTCGTGATTGTTACGTCATTGGATTGGTTTACGGTAAAATTTCAAGGAATACCATATTTAGATACTTGATGCGAAAACAATGCTTTCCTCTTGATTTTCCCACTAATTGCCCATGAAAGTTGGGAATTATTGGTACCCCCATGTACCCCCCTCACAATTTTGCTAACCACCCCCATTAAATTACAGCTATTGCTTATTTCATTTATGTCCACCTATATATCAGGTGATGTCCCCTAACAAAAAAAAGTTGGTTCCCATTATATCCCATCATATCACATTTATAACATGATCACAAAAGGCTTAAATTTGATTCCCCAAGGATCCCAATAGTGTTTTTTACTGCCGAACTACCCCTCATCCTGCACCAGTTGGTAGATGGTCGAGACGTGTTTCATAGGAATCCCTGTTTGGCATCCCAACTGGTGCGGGCTGGCTTTTGTATCCACGTTTTCATATATCAAAAAACAATCTATTTTACCCTCTGGTAAACATACGAAAAGCTATTGAAAATGGCAATTTATAGTTGATTTACCCATTGAAAATGGTGATTTTCCATAGTTATGTTAGTTTACCAGAGGGTAATTAATCTATTTTACCCTTTTTGTTAAGCATTAAATGGCCATAGCTAATTAATGTTAGTAAAGCAACAGTAAGCTACCCCCAATTTTACCATAAATGGGTGATATCAACCATCAACAGCATCAACATATGGATGGTTTATGATTGCTTTGCTAGCATTCATGATGAAGTATCACCATGATAGTTTACAGTACCCTCTGGTGAACTAACATAGCAATGGAAAATCACAATTTTTAATGGGAAAATCCACTATAAATAGCCATTTTCCATTGCTATGTTAGTTCACCAGAGGGTATATAGACTATCAATATTCATCAATAGTAAACATCCCCAAACTCAGATGATCTGGAAAGAAACCCATAGGTTTTTATGTCACCACGGATGGGTTTTTCTGGGCAAATCGGGCACCCGGAAACCCATGGGTTTTCCCCATGGATTTTGTTCCGGGTTTTCCTGTAAAGTCTCCCTTAGACCAATCCAGTGATTATGCTGAAGTATCACCATCTGGCTGGTGGTTTGGAACATGGCTATTATTTTTCCATATATTGGGAAGTTCAAACTCCCAACTGACAAAGTCATATTTTTCAGGGGGGTAGGGCTCAACCACCAACCAGCCATGATATGTTATAAACATTGATACACCATGACGGTCCTATAGGTTTTTATGCTGAAATATATGATTTCTCATCCCATCACCGGTTTTCAATCTAGGCTGCCGGTGGCCAGCTTCCGCAGCATCTCGGAGGATGCCTTGATCGACATGCTGCGGTCCTGTGACTTGGCATGTCGAAAAAGTGGTTGGTGGTTTGGAACATGGCTGTTATTTTTCCATAATATATTGGGAATAATCCTTCCCAACTTACTTTCATATTTTTCAAGATGGTTAAAATCACCAACCAGTATAACCGAAAAAAAAAAGATTTTCAGGTAATGACAACTGACATGAATGGTGGTTCATATCCAGTAACAACGGTTGATAATGGGATGAATATGGAATACCTGGTTTCCATTAAAAATGGAGGGTACTCCAATAGCTGGATGGTTAATCATGGGAAATGCTACTAAAGTGGATGATGACTGGGGGTACCCCCCATGGACACCCCCATTTATGGAAACCCCCATATACCCTCTTGTAATTTGTTCCAGTTTGCTATTGAAGGTTCCAGTGGCCCATAGAAATCGCGAGAGGATTTACCGAACTTGCAGATGGTGGAACTTTCCAGTTCGCAAACTGCTAGTTTACCAGAGGGTAGAACACACCATGGTCATTGGATTGGTTTAAGGGAAAATCTTAACCGGAAACTATGGGGTTTTTACACCATGAAGATCATGGGGCGTTCCTTTTTTTTTCGCCTAAGCCAATCTAATTAATGAGATGGTGTTCCTGATGTTTTATGATGTGTTTTGAAGAAACTAATCTATAAATTTTCTGGATCTCCAAAAAACTCTTCATGGTTTTCGATTTAACATTGAAAATTGCCAGTGAGCTGGTTGCCTCCCCGCTGTTGCAACAAAATCGTCATGGTCAAGATGTGGGTCCACTAAATAGTTGCACCTTTCAGTAGCTGGTCGTGGATGATGTGAACATCCCCTGGCTCTGGCTAAATGATCAATGGCTAACTGATTGGTGGTTTGGAAGATCTTGGGAATGTCAAACTCCCAACTGACAAAGTCATATTTTTCAGGGGGGTAGGGCTCAACCGCCAACCAGCTAAATGATCAATGGCCCAAGATGATTTGGCCGATTGGCCGAACACTTGGTGCAAAACCATCAGGATTTATGGGGAGAGTATTGGAGATTTTTCAGCAACACACATGGAAGGATGTTTTTGGTAACAACAGCCCGCAGAATGGTGATGTTCTATAGAACTTGCTTAAATATATATATATATATACACATATGTGGGATTTCGCCAAAATGGTGGTCTAAGCCAGAAGAAAATTGGGTGGAACATCAACGCAGTCGCTGGTCGTTTTTTTGGGTGTCGGCAATGAGTTTGACGAATAGGGTCCCTTACTTTCAAGGGTAATGTGATCAATACCCCAACAAAATCCAGATGATGTGGTAAATTCATGTACCCTCTGGTTATT